CTGATTGCGACAAAAGGGTTAGATATATGGTATACTACACAGACCTGTTTCCACACTGTCTGGCTGTTGTCACTGTATGTACAGGATCTGTTTCTGCTCTTTGCCCACAAACTACAGTATTGTGGCACTGGCAAGCATGATCTGTTATTTAATATTTAGAATTGAGACTTATACTGACTGGGAAATACATATAAACGTCATTGTAGGCGACTACTTAGGGATCTATAGAGCAGTTCCTGAATGAGTTTGGTCAGTCATATCAACATAATTTGAATAAGTTAATTTGAGGGGAAAAAAGTCTGTCCATAGTGTGATGTTGTAAAGGTCATGAGGAGACTGTGACCTTTATAAGAAATTGTGTAAATTTTTCAAATCACCGTTTCTGTTAAGGATCTCTCAGGGGCCTGAAAATGGTAGATCAATAATTTGTAAGCTTCATCATCCCATGCATATTGCACATTTTACAAGAAGTTATTTAAAGCACAATCCCTAAGAATATATATACAATGTACTCTGTCATGATATATATGCATATCTATGAAGCTTCATAGCAAATTGCCTCAATCAGAAACTAAGGCCCAAGTCGACATCAGCTTGATCTAAACAAGAAGAAACAGAATATTGTTCAAGCTTTGTCAAGCACAGCAAAAAGCAAGAAATTTATCTGAGGGTTCCACACTCCTTTAACTCTTACTTTATTTCGAGTCAACTGCCAAGTAGAGCATGGCAAATTGTATTTTCTGATGAAGAGTAGATTTTGATGATGAATAGATCTAGAGCAAGGCCAAGATTTCTTTTTCAGGTGTTGGAATACTTATCTCTAAAGCCAAGGGCACTTGGCAGCGAGGCTAAATACTTTTCTGAAGTTGTTATAATTTTGATTTTTAGTTAAAATATTGATGTTTGAGACCTGAAAATATCATTTAAATGTTAGGGTTCTCTAGAACCATTTTGTTACTTTGTTATAAATGTATAAACAGGATTCTAGACTCAATCTTGAAATCTTTTGAAATACACAAACTATTGTATAATATATAACACTATTTGTGTTCATGACGAAAGTAAATTTCTTTGTTCTTAGGCTAACCGAGACTCATTTTTTCAAATCCAACAAATATCTCTGGAATTATGGTTATAACAAACTAATTGGTCATGTCCTAAAGGGTTCTCGTTTCCTTATGCTCATATAATTGGTATGCTACTGAAATTATTTTTAAACATGTATTTTAAAGTAATTGAATTGTTCAAAAATTTTACTACAGTGATCATGAGTATATGTGGAAAATAATGTTTCTGTTGATAATAACCAAAGAATCAGCTTCATATAGTATTCCCTAGTGAAAAAGACGAGCTGCAATTACTTCATAACACTAAGTACAGGTAACAAAGCCTTGTAAAAGACATTACTGGATGACTGTCATCTCTGGGGATCCACCTCCATCATAATTAACATTAACATGGCCTAATTCTATTTGAATCGTCTGAACTGTTGTAGTAATTACAGTGACTACAGTACAAGGAGAAATGACTACATTTAATTAACTGTGGTCATGATAGTGTACAGTAATTGACTACTGTACAAACCATATTTAACTAGAACACTGACAGGTCAGTATAAGGGCCCCGTCTTGTGGCAATATATCCCCCATAATCATCAAGAAGCAATCTGCCCGAATAGCTGAGCTTGACGTTTGACATTTGGACTCACAAGTAAGCAAAATATACATTTTACATGTACTATGATGTGAGTCTTGTTTCCTTCCACTTCCATATTTGCTGGGCTAACAGAAATGTAAATACCGGTGCAATACTCATTTGTTAGCTTTGATTTGTTTTATTTCACCTTATATCCCTCCTCCACCAAGAGCCAGGGTCAAAGTCAGAGATACACTTTGTCTTTGACCTTTGGACCTAAATTACCTTGACTATTAACCCAGTGACCCTGATCTTTGGTCAGTTGACATATTCTTTAATTCCGACCAGCTTTGCTACTTAATATCATAACAAACATCAGTGAAAAATACAAAACTTGACTTTGACCCTTTGGACCCTGTAACCTGGACCTAAGGTCAGTTCTGATCAACATTGCTTCATGATCATCATGTCATAACAAAATGTTCATCAGTGAAAATATGCAAAATTTGACCTTGACCTTTGAATCTAATGACCTTGACCTTTGACCTCGACTTTTTACCTCAGTGTGTCTCTTTGTTTAATTCCGAACAACTTTGCTTTATAATGTCATAGCGAAATGTTCACCAGTAAAAGAGCTGCAAAATTTGACCTTGACCCCTGACCCGATGACCTTGACCTTTGGTCAGTTGACTCCTTGATTAATTCTGATCAACTTTGCTTCATAATGTCATCACAAAATGTTTTTCAGTGAAAAGAGGTAAAATTTGACCTTGACCTTTCAACCTAATGACCTTGACCTTTGATCTTGACTTTTTACCTCAATGTGTATTTTTGTGAACTGAACATCTTGACCAACTTTCATGTACATCGGTCAATAAATACCAGAGTTATCAGCCAGGAACAAAATTTGTGGACGGACGGACAGACAGAGTGATTACTATAGGGCACCCGTATCTCCGATACAGGGCCCTAATAAATTGCATATTTTTACGAATGAAATAGGTATTGAATGATTACCAGCATTATTATACATGAACTGTATATTCATCCTACATTGGATATCATGCCTATGATGCTGTATGTACATGTATACTAGTCACAAAGTTACAGTATTCAAACTAAGTAACAAATTTGGGTAAAGGGTACCACTTCATCAGTTAGAATCACAAAGGATAGTTAAACCCTGAGTTTGATTTCACTTGGGACTGTTCTCACTTATAAATACAAGATGAATCAACCAAAAGTAGTTTTCCAAATATAAAGTAACTTTCAGTTTCAAAGGTCTATCTCTCCATGTTCATATAATCCTGTAACCATTAATATTGCTGCCAATTATTTAAAGTTGAGTTACAATTTGACTTTTATTTCAATTGAATTTTCAAATATTCAAATATTGAACATTAGATGTGTCTACAATGTAACTGATCGCCTGCTAACTACATCTTGTATCTGTTATTAAATAAAGATTGTTAAAACAGATCTTCTGAATTCTTTAGAAGGTACTGCAAGCAGTTATATTTCTTCAAACCATGTACAATCGGAAAAAAAAAAGCATTAATAAAATTGGTTGATTATTGACGGAAGTGAAGAAAGCATGTTCCCTTGTCAATATTACAAAATGATTACTTGTATATCTTCATTCAAATTAATATCTAGTCAGTCAAAAATACATGTGTTTACAAGTACTGTAACAAGTTTAATTATCATCTTGAAACAGTTGTCAACTTTCTATTTTATTTTTAGGAACAGAGGAAACCTTTTTTATAGTACCAAGCTAATTGCTTTATCATTTCAAATAGTTTGGTCATTTCCTGTTATCAAGCACAAAATGAAACTAAGTAACATATTCTTGGTAAAAGTCTGATTTATGAAAAGGTTTATAAGAAATCAATATTGCATTTTTTGTCTCTGGTACGTGGTGTTCTGAAATTAGCATTAACTATATACAAATTTGTATAAGACCCTATTCAGATTTCCAAAACTTACCCCTAACAACATTGACAGAAAAAAACTGCCTACCCCATAATCCATTTCTGTTTTTTTAATATGAATCCCGTTATACATAACCAAAATTCAGCTACATTGGAAATAAAAAAGTTCTTTTCATTTTTAAGTTTTTACCCCTGGTAATAGCAACAGATCCAAAGGGCCTGTATCTCTCTCCTTTCATTTCATATCTGAACTATATATATAGGTCTCATAAGTAATAACGACAGTATGATCCAATATTGGGACTGGATCTGAACAAACAAAATGTTGGTTGGATGCGTAATACACAATGTACTTCAATAGATATATGGGTAAAGAAGTAATAACGGCAGTGCACACAAAGAAACTTGACAAATTTCTTTATCTGCACTGTCGTTATATATATGTAAAATGAATTCAGAAGCACAATCACTTAATGCAGCACAGTTTCAGAAATTAGAACAAATTAAAATGAAAGCAGATTTTGAGTGTGTATAGCCTCACTAGCTACATGCAAGTAGCATGATGTTACCTTCTTTTATTCACATTCACAGGTAAATAAATGATTGATCAACCATCATACTTTAGAGTATATATGTATATCAATTCAGGCAAGACATGTACTTATTGTTTCTTAAAAATCTGTAGCAACACAAGTACAAACACACATCCCTATGCTATGTCAGGAAGTACAAGATCTATCAGTAGGACCTACATGTACTAGCCTATATACAGTGGAATAGTAAACAAACAGCTATCAACAGATAGATACAATGTACCCGTACATTCCTACATCGTCTGCTAGCTAGCTGTCTACGAGTGTATATCACATGACCACAAACACATTCATATCCTGTTATGACACATGTGATTGTGTTTATTTATAACACATTATATACAATTTCACTGGTCTCCGATTAATAGCTCTACCTTATCGGAATGATGATGTGGAATTCGGCGCTTGCTGTCAAATTTTCAGGTTAACATGTAAATAAATTTCTAGTACATATGAAGGAGACACTAGATTATCTTAATGTCAATATCTACTGCACTGACGATTAGAATCCTTTGACTCGTGAATCGTAACAACATTTAAGCAAACCAAGCATTAAACAATGAAATGTATACCGCTTCTATCGGGTATGGCTCATAGGAAGTGTCCCCGGTTTTAATTTGACAGCCGACCATGGCCAATGTGTCATCAAACATAATGAGGATAGAAATATATTGAAAGCTATCTTTTCCAACTTAATTGCAAACGTCACCAGTCTTAATATTTTATTGATATATACCTTCATGCAACTGCACCGTCAAATCGATCGTCCGTCCTTCAAAGATTCTCGATCAATCAATGAAAACATAATATATCGATACCGAAACATATTGCTGTAGCCTACCGTGAAATGGATCCCTTCGACGCTTCCAACAGAATAGCACTGATCTCCAGAATTACAAGCACCTGTGAGTACTTGGTGTCGATTCATTGTTAAAAGTGTAGTCGGCTTGTTTATCCGATCAGGCCGATAGAAAACATGGAAAATATCCAGCTACACAGAACCTCCTCCTCTGTCTCAGCCATCTTGGATCAATTTATATGAAAGGGGGACAACTCTACACTTCCTGTTTGACCGAAATGCCTCGAGGGGAAATTATTTTGGTGTCAGTTCTGCATGACTGATCGATCATTGTTCGACTTCTATACCGAACAAATCGAAATTTGTATTGAGCGATTTCCATTAGATAACATGTTACGACACAGTCCAACCCGCTAACGCCACTAAAGAGAGAAAACAAAAATAGTCTTACTAAAGTTACACTTTAGGCTTAGGATATATGCTAAGTTAGGACCTAACTAACGTTAGGCCTATTCTCCATTTATAATGGCATTCGTTTCATTTGCCACGTCGCTTACCAACAACGTATTTCAATATGTCCTTTTTAGAAACTATATCTTTATCTACAACCCAATTCGACTTTATCAACACTTTTGTAATTACAATATTTCATTGAAGGCTTAATATTGTCAAAACTATTATAACAGAACCCAGCTACAAGTGATTATGTTTCAAACAGTTATGAATGTTCAAGCGGTGATAACGTGTCACGTACGGTAGTCTCACGAGAATAATTTAAATTCGTCTGATAGACAGTCACATGATTGTGCTGATCCGAAGTGGGATGGGGTGGGTACCAACTTGAATACTTTAGGCCAGCAAACAAATCATTTCGGTGTCGGGTCTTAAACATTAATTAATATTTTAACTAGAAATAATTTAACAATCCTGGCGCGCTCCGCTCGACTTACAAAATTAAAACCTCATTCCTCATAAAATCTGAAATAGTGACATGGCGACAAAAAAAAAATCCATTTTAAAATAATCCCCGCTCCGTTAGGGCGAATTTGAATGTAGGCGAAATCCTGTACCGCCACTGATACAGTTTATCAAGACGCAACCACAGGGACTGTAATTGATTGTCATCTTCCATAAAAAAAAAGTGCCATATTATTTTGTATTGTTGGGAAGCGGGGGCAATCGCGTCAAGAAACGGTGTCTGTGTATCTTATTGAATATGGTTGAGATACCAGGCGCGAAGCTGACCCTCCGCTCGGATTTTTTTAAATTAAAATCAAGAAACTAGTGGTGCTATGATCTGTGGCTTTTGATTTTGAGAGCGACATTACAGTGTTAAAATGGTCGAGCTAACATTACTCAGAATTACAAATCACCCAACGTGCCTTGTATGAGAAGGTATACTGTAAGGCCAATATGTTTTTTTAAGTACATTTGAGGATTTTTGACGTAATATATGGTGTTTGCTCGCCGTTCTGTTCGTCCGTCCGTCCGTTAACTTAACAGATAAAAAGTGAATAAAAGTAATTTGAAGTTCTTATATACGGTGATTCCTATAACCATTGTCCTTTGTGTATGGTGATTTCTATATTTATTGTCCCACGTGTATGGTGATTTCTATATCTATTGTCCCACATGTACGGTGATTTCTATAACCATTGTCCCACGTGTACGGTGATTTCTATATCTATTGTCCCACTTGTACGGTGATTTCTATATCTATTGTCCCACGTGTATGGTGATTTCTATATCTATTGTCCCACATGTATGGTGATTTCTATATATATTGTCCCACATGTATGGTGATTCCTATAACCATTGTCCTATGTGTATGGTGATTTCTATATCTATTGTCCCACATGTATGGTGATTTCTATATCTATTGTCCCACATGTATGGTGATTTCTATAACCATTGTCCTATGTGTATGGTGATTTCTATATCTATTGTCCCACATGTACGGTGATTTCTATAACCATTGTCCCACATGTGTGGTGATTTCTATATATATTGTCCCACATGTATGGTGATTTCTATATCTTATGTCCCACGTGAATGGTGATTTCTATAACCATTGTCCCACGTGTATGGTGTTTTCTATATATATTGTCCCACATGTATGGTGATTTCTATATCTTATGTCCCACGTGAATGGTGATTTCTATAACCATTGTCCCACGTGTACGGTGATTTCTATATCTATTTTCCCACTTGTACGCTGATTTATATATATATTGTTAAACGTGTGCGGTGATTTCTATAACCATTGTCCCAAGTGTACGGTGATTTCTATAACCATTGTCCCACTTGTATGGTGATTTCTAGATCTATTGTCCCACGTGTATGGTGATTTCTATATATATTGTCCCATGTGTATGGTGATTTCTATAACTATTGTCCCACGTGTACGGTGATTTCTATATCTATTTTCCCACTTGTACGCTGATTTATATATATATTGTTAACCGTGTCCGGTGATTTCTATAACCATTGTCCCAAGTGTACGGTGATTTCTATAACCATTGTCCCACGTGTACTATTGTCCCACATGTACGGTGATTTCTATAACAATTGTCCCGCGTGTACGGTGATTTCTATATCTATTGTCCCACGTATATGGTGATTTTTATATCTATTGTCCCACATGTATGGTGATTTCTATATCTATTGTCTCATGTGTATGGTGATTTCTATATATATTGTCCCATGTGTATGGTGATTTCTATATCTATTGTCCCATGTGTATGGTGATTTCTATATCTATTGTCCCACTTGTACGGTGATTTCTATATCTATTGTCCCACGTGTATGGGGATTTCTATATCTATTGTCCCATGTGTACGGTGATTTCTATATCTATTGTCCCACTTGTATGGTGATTTCTATATTTATTGTCCCACGTGTATGGTGATTTCTATATCTATTGTCCCATGTGTATGGTGATTTCTATATCTATTGTCACACGTGTATGGTGATTTCTATATATATTGTCCCACATGTATGGTGATTACTATAACCATTGTCCCACGTGTATGGTGATTTCTATATCTATTGTCCCACGTGTACGGTGATTTCTATAACCATTGTCCCAAGTGTACGGTGATTTCTATAACCATTGTCCCACGTGTACGGTGATTTCTATATCTATTTTCCCACTTGTACGCTGATTTATATATATATTGTTAAACGTGTGCGGTGATTTCTATAACCATTGTCCCAAGTGTACGGTGATTTCTATAACCATTGTCCCACTTGTATGGTGATTTCTAGATCTATTGTCCCACGTGTATGGTGATTTCTATAACTATTGTCCCACGTGTACGGTGATTTCTATATCTATTATCCCACTTGTACGGTGATTTCTATATCTATTGTCTCACGTGTACGGTGATTTCTATATCTATTGTCCCACGTGTATGGGGATTTCTATATCTATTGTCCCATGTGTACGGTGATTTCTATATCTATTGTCCCACATGTATGGTGATTTCTATAGCAATTGTCCCGCGTGTACGGTGATTTCTATATCTATTGTCCCACGTGTATGGTGATTTCTATATCCATTGTCCCACGTGTACGGTGATTTCTATATCTATTGTCCTATGTGTATGGTGATTTCTATATATATTGTCCCATGTGTATGGTGATTTCTATAACTATTGTCCCACGTGTACGGTGATTTCTATATCTATTATCCCACTTGTACGGTGATTTCTATATCTATTGTCACACGTGTATGGTGATTTCTATATCTATTGTCCCATGTGTATGGTGATTTCTATATCTATTGTCACACGTGTATGGTGATTTCTATATCTATTGTCACATGTGTACGGTGATTTCTATATCTATTGTCCCACTTGTATGGTGATTTCTATATTTATTGTCCCACGTGTATGGTGATTTCTATAACCATTGCCCTATGTGTATGGTGACTTCTATATCTATTGTCCCACATGTACGGTGATTTCTATATATATTGTCCCACGTGTACGGTGATTTCTATATCTATTGTCACACGTGTATGGTGATTTCTATATATATTGTCCCACATGTATGGTGATTCCTATAACCATTGGCCTATGTGTATGGTGATTTCTATATCTATTGTCACACGTGTATGGTGATTTCTATATCTATTGTCCCACGTGTATGGTTATTTCTATATCTATTGTCCCACGTGTACGGTGATTTCTATATATATTGTCTCATGTGTACGGTGATTTCTATATCTATTGTCCCACGTGTACGGGGATTACTATATCTATTGTCCCACGTGTATGGGGATTTCTATATCTATTGTCCCACGTGTACGGTGATTTCTATATCTATTGTCACACGTGTATGGTGATTTCTATATCTATTGTCCCACATGTATGGTGATTTCTATATCTATTGTCTCATGTGCACGGTGATTTCTATATCGATTGTCCCACGTGTACGGTGATTTCTATATCTATTGTCCCACGTGTACGGTGATTTCTATAACCATTGTCCTATGTGTATTGTGACTTCTATATCTATTGTCCCACATGTACGGTGATTTCTATAACAATTGTCCCACGTGTACGGTGATTTCTATAACCATTGTCCTATGTGTATGGTGATTTCTATATACATTGTCCCACGTGTATTGTGATTTCTATATCTATTGTCCCACCTGTATGGTGATTTCTATATTTATTGTCTCATGTGTATTGTGATTTCTATATATATTGTCCCACATGTATGGTGATTTCTATAACCGGTGATTTCTATATCTATTGTCTCACGTGTACGGTGATTTCTATATATATTGTCTCATGTGAATGGTGATTTCTATATCTATTGTCTCACGTGTACGGTGATTTCTATATCTATTCTCCCACATGCATGGTGATTTCTATAACCATTGTCCCACGTGTCCGGTGATTTCTATATCTATTGTCTCACATGTATGGTGATTTCTATAACCGGTGATTTCTATATCTATTGTCTCATGTGCACGGTGATTTCTATATCGATTGGCCCACGTGTACGGTGATTTCTATATCTTTTGTCTCATGTGTACGGTGATTTCTATATCTATTCTCCCACATGCATGGTGATTTCTATAACCATTGTCCCAAGTGTACGGTGATTTCTATAACCATTGTCCCACGTGTACGGTGGTTTCTATATCTATTGTCCCACGTGTATGGTGATTTCTATATATATTGTCTCATGTGAACGGTGATTTCTATATCTATTGTCCCACGTATATGGTGATTTCTATTACCATTGTCCCACGTGTATGGTGATTTCTATAACCATTGTCCTATGTGTATGGTGATTTCTATATCTATTGTCCCACATGTATGGTGATTTCTATATCTTATGTCCCACGTGAATGGTGATTTCTATAACCATTGTCCCACGTGTATGGTGATTTCTATATCTATTGTCCCACGTGTACGGTGATTTCTATATCTATTGTCCCACATGTACGGTGCTTTCTATATCTATTGTCCCACGTGTGTGGTGATTTCTATAACCATTGTCCCACGTGTACGGTGATTTCTATATCTATTGTCCCACATGTACGGTGCTTTCTATATCTATTGTCCCACGTGTGTGGTGATTTCTATAACCATTGGCCCACGTGTACGGTGATTTCTATATCTATTGTCCCACGTGTAGGGGATTTCTATATCTATTATACCACTTGTACGGTGATTTCTATATCTATTGTCTCACGTGTACGGTGATTTCTATATCTATTGTCCCACTTGTATGGTGATTTCTATATCTATTGTCCCACATGTACGGTGATTTCTATATATATTGTCCCACGTGTATGGTGATTTCTATATCTATTGTCCCACGTGTACAGTGATTTCTATATCTATTGTGAGATTCAAAATTGTACAAATAATGGGGCTGACCCCCGAGAGGGCTGAGAGGCGTGGCCAAAAAGTGTAATTGGCTATGTTTTGCCTTAGACTGCCATAGGGCCGATTTGGGCCGATCTGATTATTACGTTGACTACCGCAGGGCCGATTTGGGCCGATCGGCTTTTAACGAATTTATATCACATGAATTGATGACGTCATGGAAGACGTTAAAATTCGTTAAAAGCCGATCGGCCCAGATCGGCCTTTCGGCAGTCAACGTAAAAATCTGATCGCCCCAAATCGGCCCTGTGGCAGTCTAAGGATTAAGCAACTTTTTTCCTGGAACTAACCATGGATATCAACCATATTTGACTGGTAGCATCCCTAGGTGGTGAGGACTGAAAATAGTACAAATGGTGGGGCTGACTTCCCAGGGGGTTGAGGGTTGGGGCCAAAATGGGTAATTTGGCTATTTTGCTTAAAGTGAATTCTTCACTTGAACTAAGCTACAAATATCAACTATATTTTGTAGGAAGCATTCCTAGGTGGTGAGGATTCAAAATTTTACAAATGGTGGAGCTGACTCCCCAGGGGGCTGAGGGGCGGGGCCAAAAAAGGTAATTTGACTATTTTGCTTAAAGTGACTTCTTCTCTTGAACTAAGCGATGAATATCAACTATATTTTGTAGGAAGCATCCCTAGGTGGTGGGGACAAACAATTGTACAAATGGACAGACTGACCCCCCGGGGTAAGGATGGGGCAAAATTAGTTTAGAACTTGGAAATGGTTGAGATCCCCACACTATAACCAATTATACAATTGCTGAGTTGTATTGCTCAATTGCCGCATGTACGTTGATTTATATACTCATTGTCCCACGTATACGGTGATTTCTATACCCATTGTCCCACGTGTACGGTGGTTTCTATACCCATTGTCCCACGTGTACGGTGATTTCTGTACCCAATGTCCCACGTGTACGGTGATTTCTTTATCTATATCGAATGTCCCATGTGTACAGCGATTTCTATATCCATTGTCCCACGTGTACAGCGATTTCTATACCCATTGTCCCCCGTGTACGGTGATTTCTATACCCAATGTCCCACGTGTATCGTGATTCTATACACATGTTTCCTCGTTTATTGTCTATCACCATACGTACATGTATTATTAGCTCACCTGGTCCGAAGGACCATAGTGAGATTATGCCGTGGCGCAGCGTCCGTCGTCAACTTTTTCTTTAAAACCTATATCCTCCTAGACGCAAAAGAGGACTTCAACCGAATTTGGACTGAAGTATCACTAGGGCAATAATTTCTTGAATAAATGAAGTTGGTTCGACCTCTGAGGACAGGGGGCAGCAGGGCCCTGAAGGGGAACTTAGCTAAATTTGCTTTAAAACGCATCTCCTCCTAAACACCAGAGAGGATTTCAACTAAATTTAGTCCGAAGCATCAATAGGGACTGGCAATCATTTCTTAAATAAATGAGGTGTGTTCGACCCTTAGGCCAGGGGGTCGGGGCCCTGAAGGGGAACTTAGCTAAGTTTGCTTTAAAACGCAACTCCTCCTAAACCCCAGAGAGGATTTAAACCAAATTTGCTCTGAAACTTCATTGGGGGAGGGCAATCATTTCCTAAATAAATGAGGTTGGTTCGACCCCTGGGACATGTGCACTTATTGGGTTGAATACGGTATTGTTCATACACTTTCAGTTATGGATCATGGTTAGACATTAATTGTTAACAAATTTAATTGATACCAATTTACCATAATCCATTAATCACAGAAATCTGACAATAGATTGAATACTATATGTATACACCTTGCAAAACAGTTTTGAATTATGTCGTCTGCGAATCTTGTCCGGAAAACTCCACCTAAACTTGTGCACAAATTTCATTGAAACTTCACAGAAATATTAGGAATCATATGTAGATTTCCATCAAACTCTTTCTGACTGCAAGTTATGTTGCAATGGTAACCTGGTCACTCTGTACAGGTTTTCATGTAATTAGCCATAATTCCCACCCTTTTCTTTAGTTTTATTCAAACTTTGATCAAATTGTGCGTCTCATCATAGTCTATAACTAGACATATGTAAATTTACAAATCCGTTACCATGGCAACACAGTGGAGGTTTCTAATTGGTTAAAGTGAGGCATTGCCAAGTGCAATGGTACCATTTCTGAAAAAGAAATCATTTTTTTGTCAATGGAGTTTGCTCATTGGACGAAATTTACATACATGTATTACATGTACCCGATTAAGCTGAATAGCTTGCTATGTAGTGTTATGTATCGATTGGGAATACAGTGGTACTATTTTAAAGAAATAATAACGACCATATGTAGATAAGAATTCAATGCAAAAAAAACCATGGTAATCTGCTTATTATTTACAGGTATTTTGTATTAAAGGCCATAATCCACATCTCTTTGTTTGATTTCATTGTACTTATTTAAAAATCTGTTAACATTGCAACTCAATGGAGGCCCCTGATTAGTTGAAAGTCAGATATTGTGGTCCCAGTTGGGTTAGAACATAGACCTTGTCTCGTTTTGAGGAAATTTCATATAAAGATGTACTAATGCATTCAGTTGCAATGACTTATATATAAAACCAGGTGAGCGATACATGTCCAATGGACCCCTTGTTTGTATTGTTTTCTGACGACGTCCAATGTTAAAAGCGTTGTCTATTAGCAATAACATGATTATATGGTATTATACCAAAGAGAGCAGGCCTTTACATCAGGCCTAAAACTTTCACAGATTTACAGGCCAGTAACATAGTAGAACGGTAGGCGTGTCAACATACAAAAGGAATCCAGATACCAACAGCCAACAGCGACACGTATAAAAACTCGTTCTTTGCCCAAATTCTGTAACTCCAATTTCCCATATTTAAAACATCCCTCGAACCTCAGCGCGACTAACATTCCTAACGCACTCTCCCTGCTGCAACTATACTAGTTTTTGGGATCTAGCAGCGTACCCGTACAGATACAACCAGATGGTGCTATTAACAATGGTCCCCTAAATGGTGCTAAGCCCAATGCCTCATGTGTGTGGTACTGTCTGTAACATACGTCCCTCGTGTGTTATTGTTTGAGAGTTTCACAGTTATACTGGTGTTCGTGAACTTGTTTGTATAAACGGCTATCAAGATTACTCAAATTCTTAAATATGTGTAACAGGAGAGGGAAAATGCACGGCCGAACCGAAGTTCGAACCCGGGACCCTCCGAACTCTAGACGGACGCTCTACCAATTGAGCTCCCTGGTCGCCGACGATCGACCCAGTCCAGTTCCGCTACATTCCTCCCTCCTTTTTCTAAGTCTTCGGCCCCGAAGACAACTATTTACAACCCATGTTCGGGTGTCCCCATGCCAAGCTTACAACCGATGCTTGAAACAAGGGTTGGTCACAGGCACCACTGTAACAGGAGAGGAAAAATGCACGGCCAGACTGGGGTTTGAACCTGGGACCGTCCGATATAAAGAAGAAAGAAGATCTCTAAACGGACGCTCTACCAATTGAGCTACCTGGTCGCCGGCGATAGACCCAGTCCAGTTCCGCTACATATGTAACAAAGTTTACAAATTCGATAAAGACACAAACAAACAGACAATACTGTTTTATTCGTCTTCACGATTCAAAATATAACTGTATTCACAACAGTTCACCGATATAACACTTCCAATAACCAGAGTGTGTCTCAATTTACACCACGTGGTGTGCTCTCTTTATCAGGGGTCAGACAGGGCGTTTCCCTCGTTACCTCTTCCTCTAAAGTTGAATCCAAACTTTTACTTGGGGTCACTGCGTTCTGTAGAGAAAACAATTAAGAAAATTATTAGGAAACATAAAAAACCATATAGTCGATATAATACTTGCAATATTACTAGGCAAACTACAAGGTCGTTGTCATATTTGCTGATAGGGATGGACGGACATATTGGCTGGGATGTTTATGATTGTTACAGACTACACGGCACCAACCTCATTAGTTACCGACGTCAGGGTCAGTAATTCCAATCTAGGTTCGGTCGTTTTGACATATATTTCTGCGTCATCAGCAGACTCGTCTGAGGTATTCTTGTGGAGACAACGGCCAAAGCTAGACAGTGAAAGTTTCGCTCGACGTCCAAAAGCAAGAACTCTCTCCAGACTTGGTTTAATAGTAAGTGCTTTTTCGGTTTCAATATTCCGCTCCAGCGTACTTATCGGGCTGGAATCTTCATTCAAAACAACATGTTGATGAGAACTCGAACTTTTTCTTCCCATGAATGGCACGTTCGGCCAATAATCTCGATTGAAATCCAAGCGAGGAAGTCGACGTCTTCGTCTTACATTTTGCTTTGGTATCTTTTCTTCTGTGAATTCTTCGTTTGATTCCGATGTCCTTACAGTAACATCTTCATCACATGATTTTGAAATATTCATGTTAAGAAATTTTACATTTTCCGAAAAGTGAACTATGTGTATACGGTACTTCAGTTTTGAAATCAGCCTTTGACCATGTGTTTTCCTCCTGGGCATACGCCATTTTGAATATGACGTCACAATGTATTGTCAACCGTCACGTTCCGGTAAGCGCCAAATACAAGTCGCGCGTGAATTTTTCCATTGAAATCTTGAATTGATTCTCATCTTCTACATAAAACAAAGTGCGATATTATTTTGCATAGGTTGGAAGTGGGGGATAATCGCGTGAAGCAACTGTGTCTATGCATCTTGTTGAATATGATTGATACATGCGCGTAACCGGACCCCTCCACACGGAATTTTTATTTAGATTTCCACAATTGTTATTCGCATAATTTATACACTTTTGCTGTAGATCAAATAGGTAAGAATCAGGAACAAAGATAATTCTCCTATACGGAAAAATAAATACATTGTATATACTTAATACTATTGCAAAGGACGTCATTAGTCAAATCAAGAGATCCGAGAGGGATCTTGGCGCACAACATTGTAAGATATTTAGTCGTTTTATGCAAATGATCTTTTCTTTTCATTACTTTTATCTATTGGACTGAGTGACGTAAAGAGTAGAAGCATGTTGTGGTTCCTGCTGATTAAAACTTCATACTGCTGTGTTTGGCTTTGTTCTTTCAAACTGAGTTTCTCATTCGAACTATTTACTAGAACAGTAACTAATGTCTATAAATGAGACCAAGAGAGATTTATGACGGTCATATTTTTTCTTCTTACGAAGCAGCTCGCATCTCAAAATGAAATGTTTTCAAAACCAAGGCACAGGAAGAACCTACTTTTCATATTTGAGAAAGATTTGTATTTTACTTTCTGAGACTTGATAGCGATTAAAGCTTCAACAGTCAAATTCAAAATGTCTGTCTGGTGGACATCTTTTCCCTCAATAAATCTAGAAATGAAACATTCATAGCTAATAACCAAGTCAAGAGGAAATAGGGAGGAAAATCAAAAGCTCCAGTAGAAATAACGATAACAAACATCAACTGTGAAAATCAAAGATGGCTGCCTACACATGAAATTTGAGAAAGATCAGTCAAGTACTTTTGAGAAAATAGCCATAGAAGATATGAACTTTCAAAATCAAAAATGGCTGCCACTTGGTTATCATGTTTTCAAATCAGTCTCAAAATATAATATTCTCGATTACGGACCAAAGAGAACTTGTTGAAAGCTTTCCAGATGGCTGCCTGGCGATGATATATATTCCACCATGATTTATTCTCGACAAATGAACCCAACCCAACCCCATCCCATCCATAACCCCTAGCCCGAGTTTCATCTGGCACTGACACCAGGCTACGACATTTTGACAAAAAGATGTCTGGTGAGGGAAATCTATCTGCCAAAATGTCCAAGTCTGGTGTTATGGCCAGAGTAAAATCGGACTATACCCCCACCCCGTCCCCTCCTTCCCCCTAGCAAGATCGGATAGTATATTTAGAGATTATCATATGACCATTTTGATATCACACCCCATATCATCCCGAGAGTCCTCATATCAGCCAGAGGGCTGATATTAGGACTCGAGGGCTGATTGGGGGTGTGATATCAAAATGGTCATATCATAAACTTTTTATCATGTTTTTTTCCTTTAAAGTTAACAAAACATGCACACACAAAATATTTCTTTATTTTATTTATATTCATAAAATTGGTAACAAAAACAATGATGCATATAAACAAAACAGTAACAATTATACGTAAAAAGTCAACATTTAGAAATTCCCAAATTTCTATAAAATGATATGGTTGTTAAAATTTGGGTGGGGCTTTGTAAATCAATCTATAAATTATTTTCCATGAAACCGCAGTTATTCCATGCCAACAATTCGTTTGTTTACATTAAAAGTAGACAGCATTAAGCGGAAGTGGCAAAATCCGGAAATTTGGAAGGGGGTGTGATATCACTTTTTTAGGGGGTGTGATATAATTTTCAAGGGGGTGTGATATCACTCCAAGGGGGTGTGAAATCACCTGGGCTAATATCAACTTGTGGAAATTTTAGACTTATTACACATACAAAAAGGGTGTTATTATTAGTAAACATATGATAAGTTGTATTACCGCTTGCGTGACTGTCCGTCCCACATGTGTTCCTGCTCAATTACTCGAGTTCATTGAGCCGATTACACTCAAATCTCTCATACCGATTCCTTACCGAAAGCAAGTGCTTGGGTTTTCAGCTCCAATAGTAAAAGGTCTAGGTCAATATTACAATAAATGGAAAGTTAATTTCTTCACTATATGTCGACCTCCAATCGTTCGATAACAATCGAACGCCATACACCACAGTCTTACCAGAAAGTGCTTGTTTGGAATTGCTTTTCAGATCCGAAGGTCAAAAGGAATGGTCATTGTTAGTGAAAAATAGAAGAAAAAACAGTTTCCGTACAAAAAGATCGAGTTCCCGATGCCTTATAGAATTCAAAATTGGTACTCTGCTTCTTTACTGAGTGGTCTAATGCCAAAGGTCAAGGTCACTGTTCTAATATAAAAATACTTCCGTATCGAAAATCAAGCTGTCGTCGTCAACATGATTGGGTGATAAGTATTACTCCGCCACGATAATTTATATCTTAAACCTCATTTGCAAGCTAGGACCTTACTTTGAACTGGACAATATAACATCACAAAAACGCAGCTAAGGACGATATCGCCAAATCAAGATCGCGACTGGACGCGTACGTTAAAACATTTGCTTGTTGGTAAAATAGTATGTTTACTACTACAATGGTAGAACGATATTGCATGGACACGTGTGTCAATATCGTCCTCTGATATCGCCCCGAAATCAGCATGTCCTCCTCTTAAATGTCCAACTGTTCACGAAAAAGGTATTATTAACATGTAGCGTAAGTACGTATACTTTGGTATGGTTTAAAAAAGCTATCCCAATGCAGTTGGAAGGTTTGGAGAGGAAAACACAACCCTCCGTCCGTAGTGTGCAAAATAAACAAAGGTTTTCTCTAATTGTGGTATAAGAGGCTACAAAATGCTTAGATCAGCTTCCCCGATTGTGCTACAGCATTACTGTCGCTTGGTGACATGACTTGCCATATGTCTGCTGCTGTATGTGTGCTTTTGGAACAATGTAAGTCTGCCTTACGCAAACGGGGAAAATGTCAAACATCTGTCGTAAAATTGAACAGTTTGAGTTGTAGTTATCATATATACCGCGGACGAAATACCGTCATGTTACTTCATCTTGTTATCATGGAAATGTTTTTATAATCATTTGTTACTTCTTTTCATCATTTCGTCAAACGATATTTAAAGTAATCTTAGACCTTTATGCTTTCCATGTTATTAACCACAGGCTATTTCCCACAGTGCCTTAGAATATGACATCATATAACATGTGAGAGATTTTGATGGAGAGCCACTCTGTCGTGGAATTGTCCAGTGTACAAATAACACAACTCTATCACAAAGACACTGTCCTGGGTTTTTTGTGTTTTTTGTTTGCAATACTTCTGTAAATGTTTATGCAGACCTTACAAGGCTTTGTCCAGGCTCTCTTCGGAAAGCAGTATCACCGGTCGGTTTGTTATCACTAGGGTCTGACTTGTTATTACTTGGGACCCTAGGTAACTTGGGAACTTTAGGTTACAAATGATGACACATTATGTTAGTTCCACTTCCTTTATTTAAGTCCAACTTCATATCTTATACATGGAAACTTGATTGTTCAATCCATTCCCTTCTGTTTCCATCTTCATTCTTGCTCATTTAGTTCTCTTCAGTCTCACTTCCCAAGATCTCTCTCTAATTCTATCTCCGTCTATCTCTGACACTGTCCTTGGACTCTCTCCTTCAGCTCTGACAACCTTAGATATCTACCTATTATAAAGACAATCAAACACTACTTCTACTTAACTAAATGTTCTAATTCTATTGGCTAATTCCATTCCTAGAAGGCGGGGCTACATTTCTCTTTTAGAAGTCTTTTGCCGACCATTTCCCTGTCTAAGGACCACGATTAACTTATCAATGCATTATACTAAATGGACCTTACATCCACACACCATTGTCCTCCGACCCTTCACACAGATTTCCGCACACTCCATTCCCTTTGAGTTCCTACCACCATGTGTGTCCTGGTCATCTCCTTTGTTATCAATTACCATCTCTTTTTAATTGCCTTCTTCTTACTCTTCTGATCTTACTCACTACCATTTTCCATCTGTCATAGCAGCATCAGATTACTAAATTTCATAAACGAACAAATCTGGTCCTACTGGTTCAACCGTATGGCTCGCCATAAATGAATATGGCCTTAGACAGAAGGAAAAACCAACTGTAGCCTTAACAACACCTCGTATACAAAATGAGCAATACACATCCTGAACATCGATTACATAAGCCTAGGTGATGAATCAAAGCTATTAAAAGTCCCGTGTCATCAATGTAACAAAGATTAACCTTTGCATGATTATAAAATTAACATTTATATCGCACCTTGCACTTTTTTAAGAAAGATGGAATTATTCGAGCAAGGACATGAAACAGGTGAGAGCTGAATGCAGTGAGCAAGGACATGGTTAGTTCGTGGTAGTCGTCCTTTTGAGCATGGACCAAGAATAAAATAAAATGATATATAAACTGCAGCGCCAAACATCGATATCAAAGGGGTCGAAGAATTATAAAAAAAAATCTTCTGTATATTGATCCATAAACAATTATCACCAAAAACCGTTCCCACAAAAGACTTCAACGCTATATACAGACATATTTTGGGATTAGGATGGACCTACACAGTGCTACCAATCCACATACAGTATTGGAATAAGGTAATGATCACAGCTAACCCCAGTGTGTCAGCCAACCTACACGTGGAGACAACTTACATGACCTGGTATTAATAATCAATCAATGTCTCGTCACAGAGAACTGTGTATGTTTGAATGAGCGATCACTTAGCCATCACACTAGATGCCATGGTAAGGCTAAATACGTGACAAAGAAACAAAGGAAAAGGGCTCATTTACTTGCAATGAGAAATTGGCAAGTCTAGGACGACCTGCTTACAAGCTTCCGTGACTTCTATACTGCTGACTGTTATTGAGGTCTTGTTATTTAGGTTAAACCTCTGGCCCACTGAATTTTTAACATTTTTGGATGCACAGGAAGATCAGAAATATCCGCCGCTAAAGAGACTGTTTTATAATAAAGCGGGGACTACCATAGATCAGGTAAAATGGAAGGTTAAACAGCTATGGAATGTCAAATGCCAATCAGAAGAGCATCACCATCAAAACATAGTTGACTTGGTAGACATTGACGGTAATACCCAAATGAACCCTACGAACGACCGGAGTCGTTGATTTGTACCAGTAACTTATGACTGTGTGGATGTTATGTATGGAGTACATGTCAAGCCATGGGAAAATCTGAAACATCTTCATTTTAAAACAGACCTACATGTGCTTAAAACCATGCAAAAAATACAAAGATACCTAATATTAATGAATACCAGCAAGAAAAGTAGAATAATAATGTTTCAAAATACCTAAATTAGCAGGAAATGGTCTTTAAATATTTGGTTATTCAAATGTTATGGTTGCAATTATTTTTTTCGAGGTAAATAGTTACCCAGGTGAGCTCTCAAATCACAGCACATGTAGGCAGACAGACATTCTTCATTTCCTCCTACACAAGAGATTATAAACATTTAAACAAATGGCAACATTTACTACATTTAGAGAAACTTCAGGGAAAATTTATAGAGCAGAGTTCATATTTTTCAAGAGCAGCTTGATGTTTTTGGCAACTGTTAGCGTTAGTTCTTCCCATTCGTCATCCTGTAAAGTCACTTTAGTTCGATCCACCTATTCCAAGAAAAAAGTATGAGCGCACATTGATAGTCAACAATTTTCTCTATAAAGACATCTCTACTTTCATAAAGCGCTGGGCATTCAATAACAAAGTGAGTTCCAATATCATAACATTTCTTTGCACACAGTTTACAGACAATTTCATTATCTTCCCTAGTAATTAATAACAAGGTCCCATGTGAATTGTCCTAATTTTAAACTCAAAAGTAGCAATAGGTAGGCTATTCATTTTATTAATGTACCAGTAACTTATGATTGTGGACATATGTATGGCGTACATGTCAAGTCACGGGGAATCCTGAGACATGTTCATTTCAAAACAGGCCATACAAAAATGGATAGTTACCCATTATTGATGCTTTAAACTTGCCCATGTCCATCCCGTCCCCGATTCATTGTAGACACTTGGCAACTTCATTCTTCTATGGATCTCTGTACAAAGGTCAAGTAAGAGTATACCTCCACATCCTTGTTTTAGGGTTCCAAGGTCAAGGCCAAGGTTGATATATATATAGGAAACCATCGACCGATTCAGTGTTATCACTCTAGCTACTTCATTTATCAGATTTTGATTAAATTTTATACACAGAACACCTCGGATATCGTTTATGTCCTTGTCGACAACAAGGCCAAGGTCACAGTTACTATATATAGAAAATTGTCCCGTCCTGTCCTGATTCACTGTAAACACTTAGCAACTTCATTCTTTGACGGATTTAGCTTACCAAGTGAACATGCAAAAAAGAGAAGTACACTTTGATAGGGTATTTATATTGTTTTAATGTGTATAAATCTATAGGAGCATCACCACAGCCTTAAGTCATACATAAATACATTCTGACACTAGGATCTTCCAGTATGTACATTTGGCAGGTAAAATTCATTTAGCACACATAGAAGCCAAGACAAGCCTTACACAATATACACACATCTAAAGGGCTTAAACATAGAGGTTATAATGTGGGGGTTACTTGTTAAAACGATAGTGAAAATCACCTTCAAATGTCCACGTGGAATATACATTGTATATGTATTCCCTTAAAAATATTCTTAAAATAACACACAGAGCCTTTTCTTATTTGCATGGTCATCCTAGAGAATGCTTCACTGTAACAGAGTATGTATAGCATATTTGAAGTTTTCTATTTAGGAAAGGAATGCTGTGGGCAATATAAAAGGTCATTAATTGTGGACATCTTGCACACAAACTTAACAAGAGGCCCAGAGGGCCTGTATCGCTCACCTGAATATGTTTAAAATAATTGGTATGAAGTAGGTGCTGTGAGTACATATGAAATTTCAGAAAGATCCATCCAGTACTTGAGATATAGCAGAACATACTTCAAACAGAGCCCCACCCCTATATGCAACCTAGGAGGTCATACCCACCAATTATACAAAATTGAGTCCCCTTGACCCAAGGATGCTCCAGACTAAATAAGGATAAAATCCCTTAATCTCTATGGTCGAAGAAGAATTTTAAAGGTTTTGCTTCTATTTCTCCTATGGGCCCCGCCCTTCTGTCCCTTGGGCGACCACACCCACTGCATGCTTATACAAAATTGAGTCCCCTTGGCCCATTGATGCTCCAGACTAAATTAGGATAAAATCCCTTAATCTCTATGGTAGAAGAAGGATTTTAAAGGTTTTACCTCTATTTCCCCTATTGGGCCCCTCCTCTCTGCGTCCAGAGGGGTGAGACACACCGTTTATACAAAATTGAGTCCATTTTGCCGAAGGATGCTCCAGACTAAATTAGGATAATATCCCTTTTTAGAAGAAGGATTATAAAGGTTTTACCTAAATTTCCCCTATTGGGCCCCACCCCTCAGGCCCCTGGGGGGCTACACCCATGATTTATACAAATTGGTTCTCCTTTACCCAAAGATGCTCCACACCAACTATGGAACAAATCCTTGCATTCCTACAGAAGAAGAAGGTTTCAAAGTATTTGCTATATTTCCCCTATAGGGCCCCGCCCCTCAGCCCCCAGGGGGGCCATACCTACCATTTATACACAATTTGTTCCCCTTCCCCCAAGGATGCTTTTGACCAAATTTGGTCAAAATCTGCTCAGTCGTTCATGGCAAGTAGCGTTTTAAAGGAAAAGTTGATAGACGGACGGATGACAGACGCTGCGGTATAGCATAAGCTCACCATGGTCCTTCGGACCAGGTGAGCTAAAAATTAAGCAATTAAACAAATGTATTGAACTGTAAAGGGTTTTGGAAGATATATTTAGGGAGACGTATATTGAACAATTAGGAAATAGATAAGGGGACATTGATTAATACTAGCAGTAAGAAAGTTGACTATTATAAAGTGGGGTTTTATATCGAGTTTTTTTCTACCCCAAGTATATTAAAAGACTAACATTTGAGCGTTCCTTTTAACATGCCTTCATTGCAGGTGTAAGTATTGTCTTGGCTTATTTTTCTTAGTCATTTCATGAAAAAAATTCATCCATAACTTCTGCATGATTCTCATATAGCTCTGCACTCTTGTTGCATAATTCTCTCTATATATACCTCATCCCATTCTATACTTACATACACACTTCAATTATTCTCATATATACTTTTACTGCTTAACTTTCCATATATACATCATCCAATTTTATCTAAATCATCCCATCTCATACTTATAATATAGCTCCTCAATTTCTCCATATAGAACTTGTTCTCTGGAGTATATAATTTGTGTTCGAATAAAAAAATAGGTATGCTGTACATACAGCTCTTGATAACAGTTACAAATCACATCTATTACAACACACACATTGGGATTCTGTCATAAAGGTACAAAGTACAACACATATGCAACAGTTGAAATAACTTGTAGATCTGGTAGAATTTACTGTAAATATACTTGTATCAGCACTCAAATAATTCTGTGAAATGGAAATAATTTCCAAGCTACAGATACAACATGGTTTTTATGTATACACTATCCATAACGAGAGGAAATACTGATTTTAGTTAGGTGGTTCCATAACAAGAGGAACTACTGATTTTAGTTAGGTGGTTTTCAAGTTTTTAATTTGTTGAATTGGTTAGATAAGCGCCAATAGAAGCATGTTCACAGTTTACAGATGACTATAAGTTATACACTTACTTCTACACACGTGCACATGTACCATAATGTTAAACTTTGGTAATATCGGAGCCCTCACCTTGAAATTTATTTTGCAAATCACATGATCTGCGAGATATTGCACTTACTAATTGTGAGTACTTCTTCCTAAGTAGATTTCTCATTGAATATAAATCCTTACTTTATCAAATTCAAAGCATCATCAAACTTAAACAGTTACTTTAGATTTAAAAATCCTTCCTTTTCAAACCTCAATTTTCCATAAGATATTGTTAGTACAATAAAACACAGGTAAAATTTATGTTATTTCAAATAGAATTCTAATAGAATTCATGATGAAACGTGCACAAAAATATGGAAGTAAATTTAATCATTTTAATTTATTAAAGTTCAGTAAAAGATTATTTTTTACATTAGTTGAGCTCTAAACTGTTTGCCAGTATATATATATATATATGTGGAATCCAATGTCCTGGGTTTTGTTAGTATCTGCTTGCCTCGGACCTTAAGTTATATATAGATGCCACTGTGAAGCTGGACAAGGAAAATGGATTCTTGGACCTGGTTTTCAGACCCTTTACAGATTATGTTGCTTTAATTCAGTTTAAACCTCCAAAATGTTATCACCAGAAAAGTTATAACAAATTTAATTTGAACATCTGGAAGAACAACTAATCAAAAGTGCAGTTAAATTTTCTAACAAGTAAACCACATTAAATAAACTGTAAGCTCTAGTTAGTATTTTATCAACTTTATATATACACGTCAATATATATGGAAATTGGTGAAGTTTAAATGTCAAAAAGTAAAACAAATAAAAACTTAACACTATAAAAGGGGATATCATGGAAGTTAATGCATGTAATTTTGACATTATCATGTCAACTTTCAATGTCATACATTAAAATGTCCAATATCTGCTAGATCAGCTTGATAGAACTCTTATAACAAACAGACAATCCCAAACCTCTTATTGTGATACCTATATTTATACTGAACACACCGACAGCCTCTAACTGCTTTGTAGTTGTTACCAATTAAGGAAGAAAGCAGTCTTTAAAGAATACACTTAATTAATAAAGTATTAGATGATCAAACTGGTATTTATAGATATTTGGCAGACTTGGCTTTGGCATAATTTCCAAAAAAAAACTTATGTCTGTGTACTTAAATACCAGAATTGTCTTTCATACATATGCATCTTTTCTGATTTGGTTGAATTTTTTTATTTTTTTTTTACAGTAAATCATAATAGGAGGGTTAATATTCTCCAATTTCAGCAGATTAATCCCTCAGTACTACAACTCCGCACTAAATACTAAAACAGAAAACTTATCAGCAGTAACGTGTGTAAACACCAATTATGAAGACCAGATAGTGTAACTATCTGTGTAACTGTGGATACATAATCCACTAACACCAGTACTACACTTTTACGGTACTCGAAGCATGTTTGTCACTGTAGCTAGCTATATATAAAGTCAAGCACATCAGTAATGTTGAACACCTGACAAGTGTTATTTTTCATCTTGGTTGTAGGCCTATGGCAGTCACAGCAAGCTAAATTGGCACAATAAAGTCAGACCACTGCATAAGTGCTAGTATCATATAAGTCATAGCAAAATTGGTGCTATATTGAATTGTCAGAGCAAAACACTGTGTATGTGTAGCATATTTCAGGACAAGCTGAATATTACTAGAAATGATGTATAGCATTGTTCACTACACCAGTGTAAAAACATAGAACATAGAACAGGCAGAATTGGTGCTTTAAAACACAGAGCAGGCAGAATTGGTGCTTTAAAACACAGAGCAGGCAGAATTGGTGCTTTATAGTCTAAATTGAAGAACTGTCCATTGTGCGAGCGCAATTCTTCTGTATCGAGTGTAAGCAGCATCTCTGTTCACTTCTGTAGCAAACAACAATTTTGGTGTTTGATCACAAGTCCTCCACTGACATTCTGGAACGAATATGTTCTGGCTATGAGCATCCTACAATCCAACAGACCTCATTGTATTACACAGCATCTTGCATTGTTCTTTGAGGCCAGTTCACCGGGACTATTATTCCACATCCAACACTCTTTGGCATAACACCCTCACAGAAACTAATGCTACCTTGGTTGTCCAACGAGATATTAAACATTCTTCTGGAATTATAACTCTTGACAGGAATCAAAGTTAACCATGTTTTCTTTCTTCACAAGAAACATTCTCTTGGCATCACACACAGAATCCTGTGATCATTGAACGAGACAATGATTGTTCTCTGGGCGTTCTACAGGAACGATATTCATATTTCCGCTTTATGCATCATTCCAACACCAGATGAGACAGCTTCTTCCCTCCTAAAGAACATTCTACATCAGTTAGGCATCCAGAACTGTATAGGGGGCTGTGGCTGCATGGTACTGTTGGGTGGGGGTGGAGGTGGTAATTGTTGCTGGGGTTGGAACTGCTGTCCCGGGCCAGGGCCAAACTGGGGAGGGTTTTGGGGGGCATACTGGGGGGCAAACTGAGACTGATTGGGTGGGGGTGGGGGCATATTTGCATAGCTTGGTGGTGGTGGCTGCAGCTGTTCTTGTGGTATTCTCTGGCCCATTCCTGGATGCGGAGGAGGCATCTCCTCTGGCGTGGGCAGACGCTGACCTGGCATAGGCATGATTTGCTCCCCAGGCATCCTCTGCACAGGGGGTGGGGGCCCAGTCACTGTGATAGCCTGGGAGACATTGACAAACTGTGGAGAAGGGCTAGGGGAAGAGTGTTGGGGGTAAGGGTGACCCTGATCTTGGGCAGGATTGCCAGTCATCTGTTGCTGTGGGTAGGGCTGATTGGGTGGGGGCTGGTTAGAGAAGGGCATTTGGTGCTGTAGCTGGTTCATCTGCATCATCTCCTGTTGTTGTTGAGCATTTGGAGACTCTGGGAGTGGAGGGTACTGTCCCTGGGGAAACTGTTCCTGGGGAGGAGGTGGAGGAGGCATTCCTTGCTGTTGAGGTGGGGGAGGCAAACCCTGTTGTTGAGGTGGGGGTGGCATGCCCTGCTGCTGGGATGACAGGATGTGCTGCTCCATACCAGGGGGCAGACCCTGTTGTTGAGGGGGTGGGGGCAGTATGTGAGCCTCCCCGACAAGGACAGGGGCAGTCTGCTGGTAGATTTGTGGGGCATTGGAGTACTGGTTGTATTGGTACTTCTGAGCCTCCTTCTGCTGCTGCTTCATTGAAGAGTTGATATCATCGTCATCTTCGTCTGACCCATAGGCTACAACAGAAGCCATTGATCAAGTTATTTCCATAATTTAGTGACATTAAAACTACATATTTCCATAATTTAGTGACATTAAATACCTAACAAATTTATGCAAAGCAGTATCTGACAGAATTTAATATCTTTTGCATTATTTATGTGAGTATTTTTCATTCCAAAAACAAAGCATGGATTTAATTATGAAATAATTGGTTTTATTTTAATTGTTCTTCCCAATAGTGCAGACCATTCCAGAGGTCCTAGAATTCGCAAAAAAAGAAAAAGTCTACTCTACAGAAGTATACCCATTTCTGGATCACCTTTACTGGAATGGTAAGAATTGATATTTAGGTTGACAGCTATATGATGGCAATAACTCACCAGAAACACTGCCTAGAGCTCCTTTAGATTTTTTCCTCTCCATTCCACCTTGCCTATCACCTCCTTGTCTCTTTAAGGTCATACCTAAAGACAAAACCACTTGATAAGACATGCAAAACTGTTTTTCCATAGTCAAGTGCTTAACAAACTCTTTTACACCCTTTCTGGGGAAATGTTTTTTCTCATGTTAGCGAACGTATTGATAAATTTTAAGGGAAAAAACATTTTTACCAATCAGTTCTTTAAAAAGAAATGCAGAGCTTAGAGAAAACAAAACAGGCAAGATTCAAGTTCAAATTGTATGAGGAATGGAGTTACCAGGTAATGGAGGAGGAGGCATCAGTTTCTTGTCCTGGTCGGGTATCTCCTGACTCCCTGGGGGATGGGGTGAGCTAGGGGGGTGAGGTGACTGTTGTTGTTGTAGACCATTGCTATTGACTTGTCCGCCTCCGATTATATTCCTGATGTGTAGATCATATAATAAACATTTCAAAAACTGTAAATCCAAGACTACAAACTTAATAGACATGACTTTCAGACTTCATTTATATTTTAATATCACAGCAGTATACTATGGTGGAAAACCAACACACTACTAAGTACTTGTTAGGCTTAAAATTTTTGTCATAGTTAAATACTACGGAGGAATTATTTCAGCCAATATGATCACAAAACACTAATCTTTTATGCAACTAGAACACTGACAGGTCAGTAAGGGCCCCGTCTTGTGGCAATATATCCCCCATAATCATCAAGGAGCAATCTGCCCATATAGCTGAGCTTGACGTTTGACATTTGGACTTCAAAAAGATTCGCAAGAAAGCATTTAACATGTACTATGATGTGGGTCTTGTTTCCTTCCACTTCCATATTTGCTGGGCTAACATAAATGTAAATACCGGTGCAATACTCATTTACCGGTGCAATACTTATTTGTTAGCTTTGATTCGTTTTATTTCACCTTATATACCTCCTCCATCAAGAGCCAGGGTCAAAGTCAGAGATCCACTTTGTCTTTGACCTTTGGACCCAAATGACCTTGACCATTAAACCAGCGACCCTGATCTTTGGGCAGTTGACATATTCTTTAATTCAGACCAACTTTACTTCTTGATATCATAACAAAATGTTCATCAGTGAAAAATACAAAACTTGACCTTGACCCTTTGGAACCTGTGACCTGGACCTAAGGTCAGTTAACTCTGTGTTAAGTTCTGAACAACATTGCTTCATAATGTCATAACAAAATGTTCATCAGGGGAAAGGTACAAAATTTAACCTTCACCTTTGACCCAGTGACCGTGACTTTTGGTCAATTGACTCCTTGTTTAATTCTGAGCAACATTGCTTCAAAGTGTCATGGTGAAATGTTCACCAGTGAAAAGATACGAAATTTAACCTTGACCTTTGACCAATGGTCAGTTGACTCCTTGTTTAATTCTGTTCAACTTTGCTTCATTATTTCCATGGTTCATACAAACTTTTGACCACAAAATTTAAGGACTTTTCAAGGGTTTTTCAAAACAAATTTTGAAAACTCAAGGACTCATTTATATTGCAAAATAAACAATTTTTTTTAATGAACAACAAGGCCTTGAGGGGCTAGGATTGAAGGAAAGTCATCGGTGTTCGGATTTGGATTAGGAACAGTCGAGGTAGGTCTCGATGTACTTGTCGTTGAAGTAGAGGGTTTGGTATAAAAGTGTCCAAGGTTGAGTCGAAGCGGTCCCCGAAAATGTTTCACGTGTTTATGACTTTTCATGTGATGTAAGGGCGTATTCCTTAATCTTGCCCAGATCGATAATTTTGTTACACAGCGAGCTCATAGCAGAAGTCCTATCACCCTTGAACTCCCTTACCGAAAAAAAACCATTTGCGGTTAAAAACACACTTCCCCATCGCAGTTGTTGCGTTCGTGTTCCCCTCCTGTTAACAATGTTCTTAATGCGCATGACCGTATGTCACTTTTGCAGTTAGACTACGATACTTACTCAATTCAAACGCAGTGACGATATGAATTGAAAAAGTAAAACCGGAAACTTCATCGGTATATATTTTTAGGAATTATTAAAAATTACGATCTGCAATTTGACGATCAATTTGTGTTAAAGATAATTATTGTTTGCGACGAATGATTACAAAATACGGAATTAACATGACAGAAACGGATACCCAACTAACTTCTTTGATTTTCAAGGGTTTTTCAAGGACTCCCATTGATTTTCATAGGTTTTTCAAGGCAGACATCAAATTCAAGGGTTTTTCAAGACCTGTGCGAACCATGATTTCATAATAAAATGTTCATCAGTGAAAAGATGCAAAATTTGATCTTGACCTTTGAATCTAATGACCTTGACCTTTGACCTCGACTTTTAACCTCAGTGTGTCTCTTTGTTTTCTTCCGAATAAATTTGCTTCCTGCAAATGTCATAGCGAAATGAACACCAGTGAATAGCTACAAACTTTGACCTTGACCCCTGACCCAATGACCTTGACCTTAAGTCAGTTGACTCCTTGTTTAATTCTAATCAACTTTGCTTCATAATGTCATAACAAAATGTTCATCAGTGAAAAGATGTAAAATTTGACCTTGACCATTGAACCTAATGACCTTGACCTTTGACCTTAACTTTTTACCTCAATGTGTATATTTGTGAACTGAACATCTTGACCAAGTTTCATGTACATCGGTCAATTGATACCAAAGTTATCAGCCAGGAACAGAATTTGTGGACAGACAGACAGACTGAGTGATTACTATAGGGCACCCGTATCGGACCCGTATCTCCGATACGGGGCCCTAATTATGTTTAGGTGATAAAACCATAATCATTAGAAGAAAGGATCTTAATTCCATTATTTTAATTGTCCAAGAGGTAATACTCTTTATGTTTTGTTGTTTGTGTTAGTTATCTCACATGGAAAATGTTTAACATTACAATTCAGAAAAGTAAGGCAAGATTACGGTAAGGATGCATTAGGTGTTACCTATCCAATGTTTAAAATCCAATTAAAGCTCATTATTTCACAGGTTTGTTCACATGGAACCCTTTTAAAAAGTCTTCAAAAATTGCATGTAACAGTAAGTATAAATCTATTGAAATGTCGATGCCTCAGACATCAGACCAACTTACCTGTTTTCCTCACCAGGTATACCAGGTGGTGCCATGGATACCATAGGTACACCGTGCATTCCCATGGGTGGGCCATCCCCACCCTGAGGAGGAGAGATCTGCAACTGATGTTGAGGCATGGAGGTGTTGGGGGGCGGTGGCCCCTGTACCACTAAGTTGGTCAGATGGGGCGGCCCATGCTACAATGACAAAACTTGTATTAAAGGTTGTCAATTTTTTATCAAATAATTTTTTTCTCCCTACAAACATGAAAACGTGTTTTGTTTGTATCTGGCAAGAGCTCCAGGAGTTTACAAAGAAAAGTAAAAGCAAATTTAAAACAACTGCACGATATTCTACAAGCATCATATACCACTTTCCACACGCACACACATACACACACGCACACAAATATATATACATACAAACGTGACCTTTAAATTTTCAATCTGTTCATGATACTTTCTACAGCATTCGGTATCAAGTTTCTCTTATAAAAATAAATTTTCAAACTTGGCTCCAGAAAACTTGAGGTACATGGATTTCAATAAAATAAGGACTCACTTCATATCCTAATAAATTCTCTGGCACTTTATCTTCTTGTTTCTCCTCAGTAAACCTTCTCTTAGGCTCCTCCCGAGGCAGAGATGAGTAAGTATAAGTTGATGAGGTAGTCACTATCATTGGTGCATTAGTTGTGAAGGTCATAGCTGGACTTGACTGACCATTTACCTGTGAAGAATACATTCCAAAACAAATGTTAACAAATTATCATGAAAAATATGCCCCTATCATGGAATAACGTCTGGAGCTGTAGCTCTAGCGAGAAAGTAGGAAATTCACCAGATCTGAAAGAATACAGTCGGAATCCCAAATAAATAAATCGGCAATCACAGACCATGCCACACAGAAAAACCATGTAATTGACTGGGATAACTCTAAAGTTTTGGACAGAGAGAGCAATCTGTTCAAGCGGCAGATAAAGGAAGCCATCTGGATACGCCGCAGTGGGCCAGTTCTTAATCGAGATGAGGGGGCTCAAAGACTCTCGCACATCTATGACCAAGTGTTAACAAAGCGTAGCTGAATTGAGTCATTTTGGTACATATATAACAACTATTGTACATACGTTTCCAGCATAGCCGAAATCAACATCGATTTTATGGACAACTCGTACACAATTTACACCTTTGTGTGCATACGCTTCATTGGTCATTTGTCTGATGAAGGTGACAGTGTACATGTTGTACTAGTCATCAAAACATCACATAGAACATTGTATTGGTTGTGTAAAAAGAACTTCGCATAATGACAATGCTATTCTTCTGAAAATTCTGAAATTTTGCATCTCACATCTACATTTGAGATTTCAATTCACTGTTATGACTGCCTATTTTTTTTGGAAATATTTTGTTATTTGCAGTGAACTTTTTGCTTAAAGACTAGAATCTGGGAGGGGGCGTGTCTTAAAATAAGCGATCAGTTTTGGCAATATAGCACTTCATCCACATCAAGGATCATTATTCTTCCAAGGATAAATAACATATCTTATGTTACACTTCACGGCATGGTTTTAACAGGAATCATGAAATCTACTGCACAGAAAACCTGTCTCACCTGGGCATACACAGAGCTGGGTGGAAGGTGCTGTGGTGGGGCACCCCACATAGGGACCGGCTGGGAATGTGATACCAGCTGTAATTCCGGCTGCATGGTTGTGACCAGGGCTGTCGTAGGTACAGGTGCCTCCATCTGTGGTGGACCTAAGGGGGCCAGAGTGGTTATCTGGTGTGGCGGTGGAGGGCCTGTAGTCTGGACCAGGACCTGGTGGGGAGGGGGGTGGGCCCCCGTAACTGATGTCCCTGTTCACAAAAATGATTAAATTACTTACACTATACAGGCAAGACTTTTGACTGATGGCACAAAATGGTATGGAGATATTCAAATTGATACATATATATATACACACACAACATTGTAATAGCACACTAGTCATGCATATTTAGAAAACCATAAGTTCACCAGAATTTATCAATGCAGTAGCTTCATTGCAAGTTTTTGTCCAAGGTCATATATGGAAATTTTATAGAAGTATGACACTTAGAAAATCCTCATCATCAAAGAAACCATCAGTAAATCAGAATTGATTTGGTTCCTTCAATACAGTTGCATGCATGTTTTGATTTCAAGATTTTCTTTCAATCAAAGTTTAGCCAAAAGTTTCAGTTATTGGACAATAAGAAGTCCTTTACAAAATTCCTTAAAATTTGGTAAACATAAAAAGCTGCATACTTTTTTTGCATACAGATTATAAGCCCTTTAAGTTTTTCAGTGCAAGAATATGTAATTGAAACATCATTACAGTCCCATAACATACCCTCAACTAATTTTAGAAAATAACTGGTACATTACAGAACTGTGACTTACATAATTCTTTACTTAAGTGGAAGCATGAATGTCTTTTAAAACGACTGGTTCTGAATTACATTGAAGAAATAATCTTACCAGTGACTAACTGTAGGACACTGTTAAAAGTGACGTGATTATCTGATAACATAAGAGTTTTTAGTTTTTTAACCCTCACTTTACAGATACACTGTCAAGTCAGACCAAATGATCCATCCCCCTTGACGTCAGTTATGTCAGGTATCATGTTAGTAATGAAAGAACATTTTAAAAGAAGCATTCTAAAGCAGTGTTTCTCACCCACGGACAAGAAGGAGTCTGTGTATACAGAGGTAGCAATAGGAACATTGGTCATAGATGTTCCGCCTAGACTAGTGGGCACCAGGAATCCTGGGGCAGGGCCTGTAATGTAACGGACGTGCTGGTACTGGTAACATACACATGGGTAGAAATAGTATCTTCAGAGGGATGCCATATCTTATTAGGGCGTGTGCTTGATAGGAACAATGATACAGAACACTGAAGACAAAGGGGGAACGCGTTACATACAAACAGCCTTAAAGGAGCATGTGCAACAATGGTGAAGATATCAGAAATGTGGGCCTACACATGGCAAACAATTCAAATCTAAGGACATAATTTTTTCTGAGACAATTTTCCAATACCTAAATCAACTTATACATATGAGGACCTGTCGCCTTGTATAGGCATAAAAGTTCTCACATGATATATGTAAACATGGGCTTCTTTTTACAGACACAGGGTTATTTTTATGAAACTATTAAGAAACTTTCATCAGTTCATCAGTTTGGAAAAACTGTTATATCAAAGCTTTACTTAATACACAAACAATGTACAGTCGAAACTCGTTATCTCTAAGTCAACGGGGTAGTGGAAAAACATCGAGTTATCCGAGTATTCAAGTTCATATATTTGGTATGGAATTTGCAGTTTGGACAAAGCACTAGCAGTCATTTAGATTTGTATTAATAGCCAATGCTTATGATCAATTGATGGATGATATACGTAATCAATAGAACAAATAAGGGTATGATATTTTACAATGTTGTTTTTGGTTAGTCTTGGCAAAGTCTTTCTAGGTCTTCATTTGTATTTGCATGTCCGTCAAGTTTTACCTCTGAAGTGTTACATTTAAAATCAAACTATCCCGCTGTCTCCGACCCTGAACTATACAACGCGGAAATGAAAGTGCACAAGTCTAAAACAAATCAATGAAATGGAGCAAACGCATAGTTGATTCTTTAAATGAAAACACACACAAACACATTCTATCGTACATGTATGTACCACGTTGATTCATTAAAGCCAGATATGACACCCGCCACCTCTTCAATTTGATGTTATCAACAGCAATTACGTATTGTTCTTAAAATCTCTTGATTGACTTTCAAAGCCATACTGGCTTATGTAAAAACATAAACCCTTGAAGCTGTCCTAGGTTGTGATATTAACTCTGGAACTCTTTTATACATGACCATGCTTTGTGACCAATTTTCCGGTTTTGACTGTCGTCAGTTTGGGTGCACAAATCATTAAACAAACTCCCAGTAAGTACAGAATACTGTTGATCAACATTGATGAAGTTTGTCTTTTTATTATGAACAAGGTGGTTTTGATAGGCTGCACACTTTACAGTCTTAAGCTTTATCGTAATTATTTTTACCGACTTCATGCTAGTCTACTCAAGAAAGATGTCATAATCATGGAATGGCAGTTTAAGTTTTATTTGTATCAAAGAATAAATAAGTAATAAAATGATATTTATTAAGTAGACAATGTTTTGATGTTGGATTTACGCTGTTGAAACCAATATCTTTCTTTGAGGGATCCAAGTTTTTCTAGTTTTTGAGGACCGGAGAAATACTTCAAGATAAACAGTCTTTGTGTTATAATTGTTCGAGATAACAAGGTCCAACTGTACTTATTTATTAACATGTCACAACATTTCAAGACCAGCTGGCCCCTTTATCAAGCCAACAGTCAGTCTTGAAATGTTGTGACACATCTAATATGTACGTTATAAAGCAGATTGTTACTATTAAGTAGCTCTAGCCATTTTTATGGTTTCATTCCTAATTTAAACTCAGCTATTTCAAAGGAATTACTCCAATTTTACCAAATCATCCTACTTAACTACCCCTGATGATAGAACAATTACTTGTACAAACTTAAGTTCTTCTGTCCTATTGGTATTTTTCATTGTACATGTCTGCAGGCTAAAGTCAGGTGAGATTTTTGAGAAATGAAAATGCAAAAATGTTGTAAAAAAGTGAATATTATGAGCTTGCTTTGTGTATAAACACCAGGGGAAATGTGTCTGGCACAACGTATGAGAGAGCTAATTCTTGGCAAGGTTATAGGCTACACACTACAAAAGCCTGTGATTTGTGTGAGAGTTTCTCCTTTAGTTTAAAAACAGCATTATCCCATAATTTACATATATCTTTCGAACTTGTGCATACAGCCTTAAGAGAAAATGGCCGATATATAGAGAGCATAGTCTCTGAAAGGAGCATCTCCATACAGAAATTTGGACTGCCTCACGTAACTTACCTGGTGCAGCAGTGTACACAGTAGTTGGTGTGGCAAGTGCAGAACTAGAGGGCATCACCATGGATGATGCTACTTGGTTGACCAGCCCAGGGAATGAGGTGACAGGTTGGAGACCTAAAGGATTAACAAATTCTTTACAGTTGTCTCTAAGCATTTCTTTGATTATGACAGTATGGTTTTAGGACCCAGTTGACAATGAAACTTATTTTTGAGGCAAAAACATTCTCTTGGTTACTACAGAATGTCACTGTAGCCAGGAATCTCTCAAGTCAGGCTTATTTCTGATACTGGACTAGTCCATGGTCCGAGGGCCTAACCGTTTAAGTTCTTGGCATGCATTGCTGGGTTTGTAAGTATGAAATAATTACAGCATTAAGAAGCATTACATTTGTTGTCAAACAATTTTTAAATTTACCTCAAACATTTCTTTCAGGCAAATCTGATAAAATTTTGTGAAACATTTTTTAGAAACTAAAATTGTGAAAAAGTTGAAAATTTATATAAGAATGAGAAAGAAGCATGTTCCGGCTCTTTATGGGAAACAATGGTAAAGGAACAGTCCAAACCTGGGTGGTTCTGCATCGGCGGCTGTGCCACAGATGTCAAAGTGGCCATTCCTGGCTGTTGACCCATCATACCTGGAGGTGCTGCTGTTGGCATAGAAACACACAATAAACCATAGCTCACTTACTCCCTGTAGTACCATTACAAAACAAAACATAATTCAGAGGAAAAGTAACAGCAAATGAAAAGAATATTTTGTAGTATTCCTCTCATTTGTTGTAGAAATCCTGCCAGGCAAAAAGAAAGGTTGTTGCAAAAATTATTACAAAGGAAAACATCAATAAGACAATAAATGTGTCAACAAATAAGTTCATCATTGCAATATAATGTATATCTTTATCCAGTTAGTGTAACAGCATTAACCAATCTTCCTTCAAAGATAAAAATCTTCTTATGAACACCGAAGGTACAAATTCGCTACAACACGGAAATGAAATACCTGGAATAACAAAATATATGCTGAAACCTGAAAAAATGTTAAAAATGCTGACACCTGTAAAAAATGAAACCAACAGTGATATTATACGGGCACGGCTGTGGAGTGAAAAACACGCTTTTATAATTGAAATAAATTAGAAAAAATAAAGTGCCTTAATTTACAAATGCATTACTGAAACATAAGCAAATCATTTCATACTAATCATAGCATACATCCATCATAATTAGTATAATACATCCATCATAATTAGTATAATACATAATCATTTTTAAGATATAAATACATTTCAATACAGTACTTTAGTGTATTTTGTAAAATATTTTCATATTCTGCATGTATGTTATATCACTTTCAACTACAAAACTTAAGGCAACACTTATTAATGCAATACATATCAGAGAGAATAATTAAGTAAACAACAACAGGAGTCAACAGTGTCTGGGTACAGCAGCTGACAAATGGGATCAACAGACATGTGTAGCTGTAACAGTATCTCTACAGAAAAGTCTACTGTGTCGTCTGTAGTGTGTCATCTTCCCTTTTTAACATCTCAATTATATAACCAAATGTAAATGTACAACATCCATCTAAGCCTCAAATCTTATGGTGCTTTCTTCTTCAATTTGTTACATATATCCAATTATAGCAATAAGCTATAATATCATGATAATTTATCGTATCTCTTTTTCAAAAGAAAACAATTGTTTTGTTTGTGTTACACAATAATATGTGATTGCTCTCCACTTGATTAGACGAAGAGATGAAGCTTGATGGTCACAAACAGTCATCTGATAAACTTTGTATGGCTGTTGTACATCAGTCTCTACATTACTATCAAGCCTCACAAATGTGTGTGTCCACAAGTAGCCTCCAGTTACTACTCAATGCCCTGGAGATTGTTCTGTGGACAGTTTTACTGTTGGAGAGGAGTATAAGTATAGTGACATCACTTTAGCACACCAACCTTCTTACTCTCCATGACCTAAGTCTTGTGTGTAACAAACATCCAGACAGTTTGTGTTAAGATGATGCTGTGATGTCCAGCACTGGAAAAAATGTTTTAAAAAACTCCCCAAACTGATATTGGGAGTATATCCTTCTTGTCTTGTATTGCAAAGAATCAGAATTTATATCTGAAATACAGAAACAAACTGCTGCGGTCCGATGCCTTTTTACTATTATTCTCAAAAACGATAAATAACATTTCATGTTTTTTTCCCCTTTTGTACCATGTGGATCCCACTAAAAAAAGTTGTCAAGTGAAGTTAACAAAAACATCTGAATTACAATCCAAATCAATCTGGACATTGTTTTCTGACAGCAGGGCCACATATCTGAGAGAAAAAGGTATGGCCAATCCTCAACATGAAATCAAGACAGAATCACTTATCCTGCAATAAGAAATACCTCTGCTCATACTGTATCAAAATAAAACTTCCTGGTATGCAAAATTAGATGCAGAAGAGACTATTTTTTCTTCTCCTAAAAGATGTTGAATAAAAAATACATAGAAATTGAATGACACCAGTAGTTTTCCCATCTGTTCAATTTTGCAACCTAGAGACTCAATCAACTGTAATACTCAAAGGAAGGAAACAGGTCCAGAAGGCTACAAGGTTATAGGAAACAGGTTTTCTTTACTGTAATACAAGATTGATGTTGGGTCCTAATACTACATTCAAGGAAGTGGATTCCCTTATCCAACTGTAATACTTGATGGAAGGAAACAGGTCCCTATGTCAAGGAGTACAAGCCTTAAAATACAACTTGTATGTAACAACAATGGCTACAACAAAAAACAATTTTCTCAAGTCTTATTCTACAGAACACTGCTTTCCAACTTTATGTAAAGACTAATCTCTAAACAAGGTTTCAGAAATCAAGTTATGATTTTTGTTCAAAGTTTTGTGCATCAGAATTCGTACAGCTATGCGGCGAAACGAACAATTAACTTTTACACTTCCAAAACATTGTAACATTGCAATGATGCTTAAAACAATGATGTTCCAATATAGACACAATGATTATTTACTACCATCCCTCCTCCCTCTACCCCACCTCCTAGGTCTATGTGATGACGACTGAAGTGTAAGCACAACTACCATTGATAAAATGTTTGCCATCGACTCCTACTGATCATATCTTGTACTCCAGGAACATACAGAAAAGTCAACTTGGAAAACTAATTGAATTTGTAATATCCTGCTAGTCCAGGTCTTCTTCAACCTTCTGATGGAGGTATGGACCACCTTCCTCATCGTCATGAGCAGCCATCACCTACAAATAAAACATACCATAGCAACAGTTGCTGCCCTGCCACCGATGGCAGACGGAAACGTACTACCTTAGCTGCTGGGAAGGCACTTACACTGATGTGGAATGCCGGTGAGAATGGTGGCCGGTCCCGGGCCCATGGTTTGCGGCATGGCAACCAACGCCTGCTGAAACTGGGCATAATCTTGTTGTACCTAGAAGAGAATAAGTGGTCTGGCATGATTACCGCTCCATTGGACTACAAACCAGAAGATGTTATTCCTATGTTTCTACATCAGCGGATGTAGGATATGAAATAGTAAAATTCTGCTGTATAGGTTTACATGTGTACATACAGATACCTCCGAGGTATAACATCAGGGACACACAATGACCAGGACAAACTGCCAAACAACAATAGAACAATCACAATAATACTTTTTTCTATATTTTACCCTAAACAATTCTTATGACACTGTGTCTGTATCCCATTTCTCTGTTTAATTTGTTTTCATAATTTTTCCATTTAATATATTTTTCTATGTTATTAACTGAACACTTAGATTTTTAAAAGTTGAATGTCTGGAAATTTGTCCCAATTTTCAAGCCATTGATTTTATTATCATACAGATTTCTTCCTACTTATAGAATCCTGTTTTTATATTTATTTTTGCTATTAAAGCTTAACATATATGCTCAACAACATTTTAAAACTGAATCAATAAGTATCTTCTTTGACCTTACGATTTGTGATGATAATAATAGAACTGAAGAAAAAGAATCTGTATGATAATAAAAAGGGCAAACTCACAACTGCTTTACCCCAGAGAGAAAACGTGAGCTAGAGAAAGCAGGTGCTTGCATAAAAGGTAAAAGCTAAACATCAATGGGCCCTGTTCATGTTGTAATGCTACTATGGTAAAATAAAAAGCTCAAGTTACAAAGAGATACAATATAAGGTGGCAATCTGAATACAAGGATGGTCTATATATATAGCTACCAAAAACAAGAAATGAGGATGCCAAATCAGCCAAACAAGACCATAAGCTGTACGACAGGGGTGGTCTATCAGAAGTGAAATATATCAGTCTTTACTTCAGTACAGTAAATATATTAAAAACACAATTAATACATTATAGCAAATAAACATATGTGTTGTGACAACAACTTGGAACCCACCCCCCACCTCTTTCTGTGATTTGTCCGCACAATGTGGGTCCCACTTTAACAGACAGATTCTAGTATTGTCAGGAAAGAAACACTTTGACAATTAATGTTCCTGTTATTTCTATTAATACTTTGCTGAGAATAAGTTATCAACAGCACTACACTTTGTCTGCTCTAGTTGACATTGAGGAAGGCAGTACATAAAATCTTGTCCATTATATATAGTTGACTATGGGTAGGAAACACATCTATACTAAATATACCAGACACTTTAGCAATCAGAACCGTAAAAGTCCAAACACAGAGCCTTATCTGTAGCACAACAAAAAGCCAACTGCAATGATGAATTTCTGGAGTTCAATATTCCAAGACACTATATTTTGAATAATTTTATGAAACCCTTCAAATAAAATCGTAGAAACCACAACATCATATGGATATTTGAATGTTTAAGTAAAAATGTATTCTGAAAGTCAATGAAAAATGTGCAATGTGACTAACCATGCATTTGTCATAAAAATTTACCAAATAGAGTATTTTGTTTACAACATTAGTACCAATTGATTAATGTACTAAATGTAGTAAAATAAAAAATAAATGGTATTATGTTGTTTCGAACATTAAAGTTAGTCATCCCTGTTAAAATATGAAATAGCTGTTAGTTAGCTTTACACAAAATTTCTTTCAATTACATTTCATTAATGTCAAGATCAAACACAGAATTTTTCCAAAGAATTAAATACTGCAGATCAAACAGGAAACAAAGAAATAAAATCTGTCTTTTCACAATGTCCAGCTATTAACTCCCCTATATGGTTACAATTAATGCTATTTACCACACCTACACATACAGTGGAACTTAAGTTTGCAATGCTGGTGTCGTCGGGACGATTTGTTTTCCATACAACATTCAGAAAATGGAAATTTACCATTCGGCAAAAAAAAAATCCCCATCACCAAAAATATTAATTTTCTTTTTAAAAGAAATAAAAGTGACATGCAGAGTTTATGCTATTGACCAAAGTTTCATTGTCAAAGACGAACACTATTATAGTGAATATATTAAAAATAGAGTTTATTATTACACGTTTACTATAAAGTATAGTACAACCTAGTGAAGGTATGATTTTTTTTTTACAGATTCTTGGATTATTTAGAATTTACTTAAGACAGGTTAAAACTAAACAAAAGCAATCATTTCAGGTATTTGTGTCTTCTTTTTATATCAAAAGTTTTTAATTTAAGAACAAAAATCCAAAGAACTCCAAGTGTTAGGTAATTCCAGATAATCCTAATGAAGCAGCAGAACATGAAAACCTACAGGACGCTTTCAGTGTTCTTAAGCCTTATCAAAACAAACACCTACAATGTTGTGCTGTGTCAGAGATTTCTGCAAATCAGAAATCGGAGTCATGGATTTTGGTATCTTTTTAGTTTGACTCCAATGTAATGTGTATTTTTTTCAATATTTATAATACTCTGAGAATCCAGATTTTTTTCAAGAAGAAACTTAATTGGGTCTGGTGAAGGAGAGAAAAATCCTGCAAAAATCTCTGAGTTGGGTAAAGACAATACCAGGTAACACCAACAGCTGGTAAAGCAGTTGTGAATTTAACAGGAAACACATCGGACAAGACAAATATAAAGTAGAATTTGATGATTATTATACAAATGATATAATGATTTACAGAGAGTTTTCAACCAAGTCTTCTGATCTATGAAGTATGAGAAACAGTTATAAAAGAAATAATACCAGTATGAAGCGTATGTAAGAGATTTCATTATTTTACCATATATATGTACATTGTAACATCACAAAATCGAAGTGTTATTTTTCAAAATGTCATATTATTGCTGCATAATGGAAACAAGTTAATCATATTCTGAAATAAAATTGTGATAAAGATAGAAATATATTAAAGGTGTGTTTATCACTTTGCTAGCTCTGGAGTCTCTGCATTACTGGTGATTTCACCTCTAAACATCTTACACATCGGTTTACCTTACTGGAAATGGGAAAGGAAACGCTACCATCTAATCAAAACTGAAAGGAATAATAGGTCAACAGACAAAATCGTTATCTCTTACCCTACAATACTGAAAATGAATTTTTTTTTATTAATCCTCAATACAGGAAAAGAAAATAACAAATGTAATATCATAAACTCCAAGCCAATCTAAACTTGCATTTGGGTTAAGGAGTGTTTTTAATATCATAGCACTATTTTAGCACTTGAAGAAGATAAATACTCATCTGGTAACAAATGACAAATTAATATTTTAGAAATCTACTTAAGTCATGCATTTTTTTTCATGAAAGACTCCTCAAGATGATTCAAAACCTACAAGTGTAAATTGGCAACAAGTGATGCCATGAAATATCTGAAACAAAATTGGAGATTAATCATAGGATGTATCTATAATAGGAACAGAAGATTTCTCAACGGAATAAAACTTACCGTTTGGATGAGATTCTCTGCTAATTGCTTGGCTTGCTGGAGTCCAACTACATTTTGGTGCCTGTGGAAAATTACAAATAACAATAAATCATTGTGAAAACAACCAATAAAAGCAGTAGATTCCTGTAAGAAGTATTTAGTTATTTAAATGTGCTTGCTAATAATTTAGCAAGGATTTTGCTATTGCTTACATACTTTTCTTATTATGGCCATTTCAGATCCAGATATGAGTATATAGGGTGGGAGATAGGGGACTATTGACCCTTTACCTTGACCAACGAAGTCTTATAAAGTCTAATCAGGTGACCTAGGACCAACCAAGTCTTATAAAGTCTAATCAGGTGACCTAGGAACCAACGAAGACTTATAAAGTCTAATCAGGTGACCTAGGACCAACCAAGTCTTATAAAGTCTGATCAGGTGTAACTTTCTATGTTACCATAATTTTTTGTATCAGTAAATAATACAATCTTAATCCGTTTTGGTGTTCTCGAGATATTTTGTATCAATAATGTATGCCCCACCTACCTAAAATAACAAGTGTTGCTAGGTTGAAATAGTTGGCAGAGTGAGTTGAACATGTAGTAGTAAAGAAGACAAACTGAAGTGGATGTCTTCGACATTAAACCTGCCTTGTTGCTTTTATATCTCCCCAAACCTCTTGCAGGACATTAAGAAGGACAGCAGTTTCAATAATTTGCATCTAGAAGACAATTTTTCAGACCCTCATGATATTTTAATAACTGTTTTAATTTAATTGTACAAATTTATGAATATTTTATCTTTATTTGAAAGTTATAATTGAATCATCATCAAAATCATTTTCGTCCCCAAGTGTAATGTATGCTTCAAAACAAGATACTGACTGGATATGAATCTGCATTGGTTCAAAGGCTTCACGGCCTGATAGAGGTTCCAGGAACCCAGATCCTTTGCCTCGCAGTGTCACACGTGCTCCTGTCTCAGCTTGTATGTGTTGGAGGTAAGATGCCTGTAAAATCAAACAAAAACTCTGATGTCCTCTTTCAAGCTTGACAAATATCTTTCAATTTTCAAATATCAAATAATACCCCCCCCCCCCCCTCGAAATAAAACCCAAATAGATTACTTTTTAAATGAAATACATAAATATAATTTCAGTCTTATTACTCTTCACACATGCGTCCTTTTCTTACCCCTGGTCCCATGGTCTTGCCCTTAACATCAAAGTTTGGAGGTGCATGTTCTAGTCCAATAAACAGTTTCTCTTGAACAAACATCATCTGAAAAAAATAAAATTCAAATATAACAATTCCTCTATTTCAGTTGCTGCAAATTGGTGCATTCTACTCAAATTGTTTTGCTTATATCCTGTGTTTTAATTCTCTCTTTCCAACCTTCAAATCCACCTTAGAGTAATTTAAATGTATCTGAGACAGCATATTTTAATAGTATGAATATATTGAACCAAAATATCATGATATTCAATGGGCAATTAATTTACTTTACTTTGACTGAACAATAGTTCAACAGAAGAGAATGTGTTGTCAGCATCACTTTCGGTGGAATGAGGGCCAATTGAAATATCTATAATGAATGAACAATTATGTCTATGTACTGACCCCAGCTGGTAAACTGGGTATGGACATCAAAGGAGGTGGCTGGTTGAAAGCAGGTCGCTGCATGGGAGGGGGTGGTCGTATTGCTGGAGAGAAACGTGTCCCTTTCGTCTTCATCCCATTGGTAATTATCTCATTTATTCTCCCAACAGCCACTGAAAACAAACAGCAGTGAGATTTGTCAAGTTTCAAAATAATTAAAGAAGTAAAAATATATGTTTATATCTAGAGGGAATAATAACTAAAGCTTGTCAAACTTACCACCTACATATTCTAATACAATTTGAATGCAAAAACATGATACATTGTATTTGAATACCAAAATCTGCTAATTGTTTCACTACTATCATTATTATGCCTGACAAAGGAATAATCAGAGGTCCCTCGGAAGATGTCTAAAACAGGAAAAGTGAAAAAGAAAGAGGTTATTACTCTTTAAACCAGAATATGAAATGGACAAACATAAAAAAAATAAGTATATAGTCCCTTACCCATCCTCTTCCTAGTTTTATTGGTAAGGTACTGAAAGAGAGTTAGTATTAGCAGTGAGACTTACTGTCAACAGACTCTTGGTGTGGACCCTGGACACAAAGGTACAATGGACGGTCCCTGAAAATGACAAATTATATCTATCAATTTAACTTTGGCTGTTCTCCAAATGCTAGACTTTTTCAGGTTATATTTATTGTATATCCTAAAAAATAGACAACACCAGTTCAAGAAGTTGATAGGTGATGAAATTAATGCAAAATGTTGTGTTTTGTGCAAAAATATTTTGCGTTATCAGAAATTAATAAATTATCATCTGTTATGAACTATAAAATGTTGTTTGTCTTTTTAAATCAATTAATAAGGGATGACAGTGTCAGATTATTTTTGGTGTAAACATTATATATACAGAATTAAAAAAAAAATGCACAAACCGCTTCACAGATTTATACAAAGTCCACACAGTATTTTTTGGTATATACCACAACCCAAAAATAATAATGGTTATCCCTTAATTACATACAAACAATGTTATTACTTTTACTTTATAAATCTGATCTATTCAATAAGCATGTATTAATATTATTATAACATGTGTTGGATTTTGTTTAAATAGGATATTATGTTGAAACAGAATTGTTTATAATTTACTTTATAACATATTCAGTAGTGTTTTTTTTTATAATTCCAGACACACATTACTCAAAATTATGACAGTAAATGCTAAAATCAAACATTGTTGAAAGTGTCAGGGTACATGTGTGGTATTATCTTGAAAGCACTTGTCACGGGACTAAAAAATATATGTTTTTTAGTAAGTTTACTCAAAGTCTGTAGCAGCATATAGAGACAAGTTGAATTACAAATGCCTACCCCATATTTCTAGCTCTGTCCTCTGGATTCAGGTATCGCCCTCTGGTGGACACTGCTGCACCGCTAAACTTTGAAATCTGGGAAAAAAGGATTGGTATGACTACTGGAAATGATACAACACTTTATCTTAAGAAATTGAGCCTAATTTATGATCAAACTTTAGATATGAGCAAAGCTTTTGAGTTATGTAATGAAACCAAAGAGATCACTATTATTATTCTGTGAATTTCTGCTTAGAACAAGCCATATTTGTGTCTAATGACAGGGAACTTTGCCACATGAATATTAAACCCAATAATAAATTATAACTATTGTGAACAAACTTCTAATGTCTCTTAGGGGTCTCTATCATCATACATTTTCCAAAATGTTTTCCTTACGAAACACCCAGCTTGCTCGAATGTTTTTCTGGACCCAAAAAGTGTGAGTTTAAGCATGTTGCATTGTAGAGTTACCTCCTCCTGTGTTGATCCTCGAGTGAGCATGTTTCGACATCCGATAGGCACATCGTTGATTTCTACCTCTGCCACTACTAGGTTGTTTATAGCTCCGACNTGACTTTAAGTTTGAAATGTAAAATGTTAACGGACGACGACGGACGAAAACGGATAGCAATAGGTCACTTGAGCTAAAGCTCAGGTGACCTAAAAAGCATTTAACTTTTTAACTTTTTAACTGAAAACATACATATTTCTTTTGGCACAGAATTGAAATTCCTGTGTACAGGAAAACACCATAGCCTTGTTTTCTTAATCAATGGGACTTCTAAATGCTTTTCTCTATTTTTTGGCTTTTTAATATTCAGATATTTTCATTTTTCTAGTAAATTCCAGTAATTTTTTAAACATAAAGACGAGAAAATCTGACAGCATTTGAACTCCAGTCAGTTTCAATCCCAGGTCAGCGACTACTTGGTTAAACTGGGTTGTTGATATAGGTAAAATGACTGCAGATATTTGTGGTTTACAACACTTTCATAAATTTACAACACTTTCACAAAATGAACCACTACATTTAATATTCATAATGGGATCATAAAGCATGCAGTCAAGCAAGCTTGAAGTAAGAAATTGATTTTAGGAATAAATACTTCCCCAAACTTCATGTTGACTCCCAAAATCAATATCGCTGTAACTAGAGTTGTTAAATGTAAACATACTCGGGTACTACGCCTCGATATTACAGAAGACACGAGTAAACAATGGCAGTTACACTAATTTTTCATAAATATGTTCCTAATTTACCTGTTAATCCCATACTTGTTGCCCGATTTTCAGGACAATGCCCATGTTATATAGTGTAATATATAGGTAACCATGTACAGGTGACAGATCAGAACTGTGATGACTAGTGAGCCTTATTTGACTAGCTTGTGTTACAATTTATATTAAAACTTCAATGTTGCATTAGGTACTTATTGTCAAGTTTACAACATTGATTTTATATAATTGTTAAATCTTACCTTCATTTGCTTGTTGCCGTGCTGTTGAGATAACTGTGAAGGTTTGAGTTTGCCTTTAGCAATGAGCATAGTATTTACTTTCGCTGCAGCTTCTCTGGCTGCGTCTAGACTACTTTTGTTGTCGTCACTCCATCTACTGACTCTGTTCAACCTAAAACATACAATTGTTTCAATTAATTAGTTACCAAAGATATTTTAAACCTAAAAGTAAATAATTTTATAATGTTCCTGTTTTATAGATAAGAAATTAAACCAAAACTCAACATATGTTTTCTGAAAATATCTAGAGCTACACCAATTTATATTTGGAAAAAAAATGCTTAATCATTTTGAACTGCTGATAATCTCTGAACAATGATAAATATTGTTATTTGTGAAATATGTTCCTGTGGACCATTGGTTCGACAAAATACATTTTTTCATCTTGTATGAATGTGTTTTCTTTTAACTTATCAAACAAAAGGTTATGTAGATAATGTACTGTTTAAAAGTTATAAACATTTCGGGACATTTGGTGAAATACTATAACGTTGCTTTACTTTACTGGATTTGTCTGGCAGACAGTTGATAAAACGTCAGAATAATTCTGACTAACTGTTAGGTATGAAGGTCTGTCCCTGCTTGCTGTTTTTTTTCAACAATTTGTTAAGGTAATTAATCTGTAAAATGTTGCATTTCAAATGAATTAATCAAGTGTTCCACAGGATTTCTGTAGGGATAATCTTGGAGGGGGCCATGGAACCATTGACCCTTCAAAACTGAAACTGACCCATCCATGTTCCAATTTTCTATTAATTTTACATAGAATGGCCTCTCAAGATTTTTATGTTGACAAAAAAATACTGGAATGGCCCACTGCTCCAGGGTTTCCCTGTTTATGGGAGTTATGTTCTTTAGAATATTTAGTAGATTTTCAAGTTCAATATAATGTACTCCTAGATCTCAAGACTCATGATACAGTCAACTGTTTTGGGCTAGACTAAAAAAACTCAATTTTGGAAAACGTCCCGAGCTTCGCCCTTTCCCTCAAGGCTCAAATCATAATACGGAGTCTTGAAGACAATATAAATGTTGGTGTGAAGGCAAATAAAGATACTATGGGAGTGCTGTTTACTCTCCCAACGTGTCTTCACTTATCAAACAGACCCTGCACTCAACAGGCCGTGCAAATGTAGGTCAATCGCGCCGATCTCTAAATGTTGGACCTGGGGTACCACTCCGCCTCTAATGATAGTTATTCATAAAGAAATTTTTACTTTAAACTGACATGTTATGTGACCAAACACCATCAGCTTCTTCGTTGCGCGGAAAGCATTAGGCTACTGCAGTGCAAATTCCAAAACAAAGTCATGTGCGATCACGAGGCGGAAACATGTCCTGGCTAGTATTCGGCATTTTGCTCCAAAATTGGTGCGTCTGTTGATAGATTATGAAATACAATTTCCATTCAGACATTTTTGTATTAAATTTCACAGAATATATGTTAATGAGTTCATGTAAACAACAATGGTCAGCATACCCCTCAGTGGTAGCCATCTTGTCATATTGAAGCATCTGTGACGTCAGAGCACTGTGTCTCTACAATCGGGAACCGTCGGCACTTTCCGTAAACGAGAAGATACGGGAATCGGGAACCGTCGGCACTTTCCGTAAACGAGAAAATACCTGTCTCGTTAACGGAAAGTGCCGACGGTTCCCGATTGTGGGTCTATATTCTACTTCACACTTTGTATTCATTTTAAATATAGTTTATTTCAAAATAACTTGCGTAGATTGAGGAGAGATCCTGTTGTATCGGATAGACTGGATACGTGAAACAAAGTTTTACATACATGGACAATAATATCAAACGACTCATAGAAATCACATGGCATAATATTTTCAAGGAGCAATGTCGATCCAGAATTTCATAAAACCATATGAGATATATCTTATATATTATATTTATGCACGGAATTATATCTAAGTTCCGTGGTATATGAGATATGTTACATAATATATAAATCTCTTATATATACTATATAGGATATCTTATATAGAAATTAAATAGATGCCATATAAGATGATATCTCATTTAATTTTCTGTACGGGATATTTTATATAATATATCTCATATAGTTTTATGAAATTCGGGATCGACGTTGCTCCATAGATGTTCTTATTTTGTTTCCATTTGATGAGATTGATGCATTCGATTTTCCGTATATGCAAACCACCTCCAACCCCCAAGTAAACCCTACCGACCCCCAAAATAACAATTAGTGTTTCTCGATCTATATTTAGCAATATTGCTATCGAATGATGGTAACGGTATTCATCGGGTCTTAAAATCATAGTTGTCCTAGATTGTCTGAAACATCTCGATTTCTTCTCTACTTCCACCTGGTCAATGGTAACCAAACGTGATAGGAATAATGATATTAAGGTCATGTTTCGAGTTGAATCGAAATCTCAAAATGGCCACCGTGTCCTCTGATTGGTTGAGAAATTTTGACTATCTTTGTAATAAACACTTCCATCCTGTTCAGGACCAAAACCACTTCATGATATAATCGAAATCCCTGCAATTTCCTTATGAATCTATATAATTGCCCTTTCACAGAGGAAAGTATATATCATATAGATATCAAATCTTTGAGGAACAACAAAAAACAGTAGGTCAGAATGATCAATAAGAACTCTTACGAACAAAAAGTTAATAAGAAGCAACATGTTACATCTATCATATGACTGCTTCCTAAATAACGCACCGTTTATAACATTTGTGCCATGATTAATAGTTTTTCCGCCTTAACTTTACAAACGTCTAAACACCTTGCTGTTAATCATCATGCCGCATAACAATTCGATCTGAATATCCTTATATTGATAAGTCCACAAGTAGCTTTTACGGAAATTGAGTCAATAATTAGTAATAAATCTGTTTACTATTACAAATATAACGTAGTTACACACACGTGTATATATATTTACTATTCCATGATTTACCCATTTACATGGGTGATACATAGGCCACGTGTTCTGATTGACGAGGTAATGTTTGCTTGTGAATACGTGGAAAGAGTTCATTAATATAAGTTCAAAGTTCAAATATTTTATTTTCGTGTTAAACACATAGTATTCATAAAATCACAATACATATACCTTTGAATATAAAATGTGTCTAGCCAAAATGACGTTTTAAGAACAACCACACTATTTACTATCTTCAGGCATGTAGTGTTATTAACCAGTCTTTGTAAAAACAATTGTGCTTGATACATTTTTTTTTTACTAGTATAGCAGGACATAATTTAATATGGGAGAAACATAGTTCTTCTCCTCCACATAAGAGAAAGTTGGGTAGCTAGTGTTTTTTGGAGAACTGGTTCACACATCACATATCTGAACTGTTCAAATTTGTTCGTATCATTGAAAAAATCATATACACTGTTTGCTTTCGTTAAAATTACAGATCTAAGATCATCATAAAAGATACATTCCATTAAAAAATGACACTCGTATTCTACATCATTATTACACAATTTACATAACCTATTATTGACAGGAATCACAGGTCGGGCATGCCTACCTTTTTCAATTTCAAGAGGCAAAGAACCACATCTAAAGTTAAATAAAAAAAATCTTTTACATTTGAGATGAACAGATTTTACATAATCGCTAGCGACAGGCTCATACTTGTAAGTTCTATATGTACGCAGTTTATTACTATTTACATTGTTTGTGTCATCCCACAAAGACAACTGCCACTTATCATCATCTTCAAAACTCAGGACATTCTTAATATCCTACCTACATTTGTACGTTGATGTATTTTTGGTTAAAACTTCACTTAAAGAGATATGACGGGTTGCTATGCCCATTTCCCCAAAGCTATGTTACGCTAGTGCGCGCATCCAACCGTGCACTGTTATGACGCGTCCTCATGTATTTTTATACAGGTAGCAATATCGGAATCCCGTGTCTAAGAATAGATTATTGTAAAAAGACCACATATTTAGTATTTCGGCATTATTTGTTGGTGTTTAAGCACTTGATATAATTACTATTGCCAGGTGGAGGGTAAAACAATTCATAAATTTCATCAAAAATAGTCTTACCTACAAAGCGTAGCTGTACTGTACACGTGTACAGGGCTTCGATAGAAGTATGTCGCACTAAATAGTAAAGAAATTATTATTTACAAAACTGATAAAACAATAGGTATATTATTAAAATGAAAACAAAATTTTCCATCTATTTAAAAAAAACTATTGCTTTATTAAGGAAAATGATCACATGCCTAAATATTTAAAAAATATATATAACTGAAGGAGGATGCGAACCTGCACCGTTTATTTTCTAGTCGCAAGTAAACTGCGTTACACATTCGGCTACATAGAACATATAGATATTGGCAATTACAAACTTATTTAACCCGAGAAACACCGGTCGCAGTTTAGAGAAACTTGATCACCTCTGGGTTTTTTTTTATTATTATTTTGAGCACTTACCCAAAGGAGGACCACTTTTCCTTAATACGATTTGTTTTTTCAAATTACATCACGGTCACAAAAGTTGTCCTCGGATCGGAAAGTGTTGAAATTATTTTTTTTAAGTCCGGGAAACCCCATCACTTTCATAGATATAGTTTATATGGCTATATTTGCAGTATCATATTAGCAATAACTAATTTCTCAGCAGTTTAAAAATTCACATTCAATTGGTTTTGTATCTTTTGTATGCATTTTTGCTACCCGAAATGTTTTACACCTTAATTTTTTTCCCCGTTTTCATAAATGCCGACTTAGGGAAATACGGGCAGTTTTCCGCCATACCTCTTTTTCTCCGCTATCAGACTAACATCCCGAGAGTCCCAGGATTTTCTAATAGAACATGACCATTTATGAATTTTCTGCAGTAGTCTGCTATCATCGCAATTTTTTATACGTAAATATAATCTAAAAACTTCAGTTAATTGGTTAACTTCACATGAATTCCAACCCATATCTTCTCGAAGGGCTACATTCCTTGCATTTCTAGCAGCACCCGGAAAATACCTGCATGCTTTGTTTTGAACCATAGCAACTTCTCTATATTTATTCAGACCCCAGATTCCAGTACCATAAAATAGCACTGGTTCCACTAGGGATACATACAGCTTACAATAAACTTCATAACACATTTCTACAGCATGTAGCATGTACATACTTGGAATAAAGAGCAAACAATGCTCTACTTGCAGATTTACACAATTCTTGTACAGTAACATGTAAATATAAGTGTTCATGAAACCATAAACCAAGGTATTTGTAATTCTGGATTTTTTCTATAGGAAAAGCACCAAATGTAAAATTAAAATTTGTTAGAGGTACAGATGGATTGCGAAAATGCACAACATTTGTTTTCTTGATTTATGCCTAATTCCACTTTTTACACCAACTATCAAGCTTGTCTAACATATGTTGCATCGACTTCTCATCTGGTGCGATAAGTGCTATATCATCCGCATACAGAGGTAAGGATACCTGGTCATCATCGACCTTGACACCTTTACCTAGTGATTTAATATCAGAGGCCAGATAATTCATATTTACATCCCTGTTTCAATCCTTGTTTTACTTCAAAGGCCTCTGTAAGTTTAAAGTTAATCTTTACCCTTGATTGGATATCATGGTACAAGGATTTTATGGCTTGTAAGTAGTTGCCATGGATACCAAAATGTTGCATTTTAACCCATAAAAAAGCACGTCTACCACAATCAAATGCCTTTTTCATATCGACAAAGCAGACAAAAGTAGATTGTTCATAATTTTCCTATTGTTTAAAATAGAATATAAAATGTACTGATGATCAAGACAACTTCAATTTTTTCTAAAAAACATTTTGTTCTTCAGCTAGAAGATTGTTTGTTTCTAACCATTTGTATAAACGCTGGTTTAGAATATCAGCATAGATTTTGCATGGGATAGATATCAAAGAAATCCCTCTGTAGCTTAATGGTGACAATTGATCTTTCCCTGCCTTCAGTATAGGGTTTATAATATTATGTCCCCAAATATCTGGGACTTGACCGTTAACAAAACAAAATGTCTTTAAGATATCAAATAAAAGGTCTATGCACGATGGGTTACGTAAAACCGAGCTCTGAATAGCATATATACCTGCTGCTTTATTAAGTTTTGCTCGAAAGACAGCCTCTTCAACCTCTCTCCTTATATCGATAGTTAACCTCTTTTGAAATATGTTAACGAAAAAAATGAACAGCGCTCCATTGAAATTTTTCATGGGAAATTTAAGACGCGTTGTGGCATTGACGGGGTTTGCACTTTCGAAGTACATTATGCTGTCACTATTACCTATAACGTGAACTAAATAATACTACATAACATAACTTGTATTGGTACACCAAAGCCTCTTCCTTATTTATCGCACAGTGATCACAGGATTTGGAAAACCACTGTCTGTTAGTAAAACAGACAGTGGTAAAACATCTGTAATTTCTCGCCTACGCGAAAATGAAGAATTCCTAGTTAATATTTCTGCGGAAACTCGGTTTAAAACGGAATCCGCTATC